TCCATCATTAGACATTACTGTAAAAATTGACAAAACACCTGTACTGAAGCAGAGAGACGAAACAAGATATGCATTTAAAAAGACAGATATTGCACACTGCATCGCGGATCTATCCGTGATAGATTGGGAGTCAATATGTTGATTTAAATTGTGATGAACTTTTAGGGGTGCTCTATGAACACTTGTGGAATTGCATTGAAAGGCATACCCCAAAAACGAAAACAAAGAAGTCATATCCCCCATGGTTTTCGCGCTCATTGCTCAAGATTTTAAAGGAAAAAGAAAAATACCATAAAAAATTTAAAAGATTTGGCAATCCGCGGGATTTTGACGTTTTTTCAATGCTAAGATCTAGGGCTAAAGCAACTTACGGTAATTATTTTAAGAATTATATATGTAAACTTGAAGGTAGCTTAAAAAATAACATTAAGTTGTTTTGGAGCTATGCTAAATCTAAGAAAAGCACAAATAACCTACCAAAACAAATGTCTTATGGTTGTGATTTTGCTGACAACGGTTGCGACATAGCTAATCTATTTGTGAAACACTTTTCGTCAGTGTATAGTGAGCCTTCCACAAACACGTACACACCCGACTTTCCTGAGCCAAGTATGACTATTGCACCATTTGTCATTACATACAGTGAAATAGAATTGGCTCTGAAAGCATTGGATGTGTCAAAGGGCCCAGGATCGGATGGCATCCCCCCTGTATTTTTGAGAGCGTGCGCGGAAACTTTAGTTGAGCCTCTGCACATATTAATTAACAAAAGTCTCAGCACTGGTGTTTTTCCGGCGTCTTGGAAAACGGCTTTAATAATCCCCATACATAAGTCTGGAAGCAAATCTGACGTGACCAATAGGCTAGTTGACCCTTTTTGGAAAAAGGTTTTAAATTGCAAATCAACATAAGAAATAAATGTTCTATTAGACCGAAAAAAAATGTATTGTATTTTTTTTAAACCTAGAAAGCTACAAATCTTTAATTTTAAAATAGACTTTTCATGGACATACAAAAACGCTGTCGGCCATTTTAGTCTATAGATTATCTATGCTATGACGTGAACTGTGGTAAACAAAAACTCGTAAACACGTAGAAAATTACTTTTAACTGAGTTTATAATAAAAAAAACATGATTTCTAATAAATACCACGAAAAATAAAGTAATTATCATTACTGTATTGTACGAGAATATAAAAACACATCCTTGAAGACTCCAGGAAAGTTGTGGATTAAAGTGCCGAAAGAAATTAACCTATGCAACTTTATTACACTTATTCATTATGTTGTATCAGTTTTATGTTTATTACTACATTGTAATACTAAATGCACTGTACTTACATAGATGCCTTGTCGTTTCTCTGCTCCGCAGAGCAGAAATCGGGGTTTAGTGCAACAAATTCACCAACCATCAATGCGTCAATTCTTGGCAGATTTGTGCTTTCTGCTTTCACAAAGACGGCATCCATAATTAGTTTTGTCAAAAAAAACTAAGTTTACTGTTTTTTTCTTTCCTAAATTTAAAAGTGTTTTAAGATAAATTTGGTCAGACGAAAGACCTACCACCTACAGTAACACGCGAATGACATTTAGTTGTTTACCACAAGAGACGTCAAAATCATGGCGGATGTGGCGAACAGCGTTTTTAGTGTTTAAAAAATATAGACTAAGAAATATTTTTTAAAATTAAATTTCTACAGCAATCTTCTGCTTTTATGAAGTGAAATCGATATATTAAGGTTCCTTAGACTAAATACTTTAAGAAATAAACATTTATTTAATACAATTCGACATGAGTAAACTAGCCTATTATAGACCAATTAGTATCCTGTGTTGTTTTTCTAAAATCTTCGAGAGTTTAATCTATAAGCACATAAATAACCACATGAAACATTTAATTAGCCCCAGACAGCATGGTTTCGTGAAGGGGCGCTGTACTGCCTCAAATCTTTTATGTTATGTACATTACCTGAATACCGCTCTCAATAAACGAATACAGGTTGATTCACTGTACACAGACTTCGCTAAGGCATTCGATAAGGTGGATCACAAAATATTGATTCGTAAAGCATACCACCTCGGCATACACGGCTCGCTTCTGTGTTGGCTAACTTCATACTTAAGTAATCGAACTCAAATCGTCAAAGTGTACGGATATGAATCTGTGCCGTTCACGCTTAGATCCGGTGTACCACAGGGATCCAACCTTGGACCTCTGTTGTTTGTGTTGTTTATCAACGATTTGGTTAACTTGATTTCAGGCAATTGCCTTGCCTATGCCGATGACATAAAAATTTACAGAGAAATAAGATCTAAGGATGATTGTGAGACATTGCAAAGTGACATCAACCGTTTGTACAACTGGTGTTTAAATAACAACATGACGCTAAATATATCAAAATGTGCTGTTATAACTTTTACGAAAAATAAACGACCTATACACAACACTTACATTATCGATGATAAACCATTGAGCAGACTCGACGTTGTTAGGGATCTCGGGATACTACTGGACAGCAAACTATCGTTCACTAGACACTATGACTATATTGTTTCAAAAGCTAATAAGCTCATGGGATTCATATTTAGAATAACAAAACCTTTTAGAAGACCTTCGAGTATATTAACCCTTTATTTCGCACTGATTAGAAGTACACTCGAATCTTGTTCAGTGGTATGGTCGCCATTCTACAACTTCCACATAGATAGAATAGAGGCTGTTCAAAGGCGATTTCTTCGATATTTAAGCGCCAAGTTCGGTATAAGGCGTAAGTTGGGCACATACGAGGCTAGGCTTAAGTATTTTAATATGAGCACCCTGCAATCCAGGCGAGACATAGCGAATTTATCGACACTTTACAAAATTGTAAACTCTGTTTGGGACGTAGAGGATCTGTTGAGCCGTTTTTCATTCAAAGTGGGAGGAAGTAAAAGGTTGCAGAAACTTTTTTCCGTACCAAATTGTAGTAATAATGTTACCTACAATGACCCATTATATAGAATGAGCAGAGCCCTTAATGAAATAGCCAAAGACGTGGATATCTTTGCCATTTCCCACTCCTCCTACTTACGAATATGCAGGAGCAAATTGTAATTAAATTGATTTTTATTATTATTTATAATTCTTGATTAGTACATACATATTTAATTATTTCTTTTTTTAATTGTTATTGCATATTAATTATTATAATAATTATTTATTCAAATTTGAGAGCTAAAATTAAGCAAATGTCGTGTTCAGCATGAATTGGGGTGCAAGTTTATGTATTACAATAATTTTGTATAATAATATGTAAGTTATAATTTGTACTCTGTCGCTGTACCATAAATAAATAAATAAACTATACTGTTGAAACTTGGTAAGTAGATGTATTCCGTGAACCCCATTAAGATTTTCACAAACTCAAATAAATATTTTTCACCAAACCCATACGTATGGAGTATCTATGGATAGGTTTTCAAAAATGACATTGAGGTTTCCAAAGTTTTTTTCTAAACTGAATAGTTTACGCGAGAGGCACTTCCAAGTGGAAGTGGAAAAATGTGCCCCCCTCCCCTGTAACTTCTAAAATAACAGAATGATAACCTTAAAAAAATATATGATGTACATTACCATGCAAACTTCCACCGAAAATTAGTTAAAACGAGATCTAGTAAGTAGTTTTTTAATACATCATGAATCGTAAACCGCAATTTACCTTTCAATCAATCAACTCAAATATAAATAAAAAAACCATTTAATTTCATACACACAAACGTTATGCATAAACCGTGAACCATTATTTTCTAATAAATAATAATAAACATATCTGTAATGTGTGCCTAAGTAAATAATAATAGGTAATTATTAGACTTGCAACGAATATTCGGTTACTATTCGGTATTCGGCCTATTCGGCTGCTTTTATTATATTCGGCCGAATACCGAATATCTACATATTATTCGGCCGAATACCGAATACTTAAATATTATATTTTGTCATAGAGAAATAATTGGTAAAATGAAAAATTAAAATCGATTGATTACGTATATATTCATATTTTAATTTCTGTTATATATAATCATTTAAGTAGTCATTGGTACATAACCCAGGTACATAATATCATCTTCTGAATTGGAAAAATGGAGGATTCTATGTATTTGAATTATTGGGGTAATCAAAATTTAGAAGGGTAAGGTTCTCATTTCTTTTATAATTATTTATTAAGTAGTCATTGGTACATAAAACAAGTACATAATTTAATCATTTTCTGTATTAAACAAGTTAAGAATTTTGTCTATGCATTTGAATTATTTTCATAATCAAAATTTAGAAGGGGAAGGTTATGGTGCAGAAAGACTAACTTTTCTGCATTTTTAAGAAGTAGTTTACTTCTTTTTTTCTCGTAGACTATCCCAGCTTCAGAGAAAAGGTGCTCTGAATAAACACTACTTCCTGGCGCCGACAAATATTTTGCTGCAATCTTAATCAAACACGGAAATTCAATTCAATTTCCTTGCTTGCCATTATGTATACGGGTTGTCATGACGTGATATATTACTAATATTTAAGAAAAGATCAGAACAAGAGCGGGCGCGCGGGCGATGAGTACATTAGAACAAAACAAAGGAGCGCGAAACAATCACGTCTGTACAAGTTTTTGGCGCTAAAATCCAACCGAATACTTTTGCCTAATATTCGGTCAGGGGCCTCGCCGAATATTCGGTATACTGCCGAATATACTATTCGTTGCAAGTCTAGTAATTATAATTCGCGCGGGGCGTGGCTTCACCGGTAGCGGTTGCATAGCGTGCGTGGGGCAAATTTTATATTATTTTAATTGCTGCTACGGAACCCTTCATGGGCGAGTCCGACGAGCACTCGGCCGCTTTTTTTAGTTCTAGGTACTTAAACATTTGCCAAAATAATTAATTTCAACTATGCCGCATTACAATGATTTCAATTCCAGTAAATTCCAAAAAAAGTTTCACAGAGTAGCTTAGCCGGGCAGTCCGCCACCATGAACCGGTCAACCTGTCGAAAAAGTAAGCCCGAGGTGTGCCCACTGTGCCGCACAACTTTCCCGCCAAAACTTTTCAAATACGAAAACTTCAACAGAACCGGACGTTAAACAAATCGGAATTTGCATATTTATTTATGATGATCGATTTCCCTTTTCCAAATAGGTACATACTTACTTACAGTATAAATACTTATACATTTGTATGTAGGTACCTATCTCGAAAGGGAAAATCGCACACTTCAACTAACTTTTAGCTGTATCTTAAAAGTGGTTTATGATTGAAAAAGGTTTTGATTATTCTCGTATTTACGTACAAAGCCTTTCATATGTAACGGGGCTACATTCAGGCCAACCATCAGTCATTGACCCGTTTTCCAGACATAAATTTTAGGATTTTTATACCAGGCCCAAAGACTATTTGTTTCAGAGGAGCGGTGCTGATTCACCTCGCTGAGAAGGTCAACAATATTGCTGACAGTACCTACTGTCGCCATCTTTCGAATACTAGATCTTTATTACCTAGTGGTCTCACTTTCACGGCCTAGTCCATTCCTGAGCTTTGCAAACGTATTTTTTTAATTATTACTTTTATTTTATCTTCGTACTTCTTCTATATATCACCAGACATAAGTTGATTGAGACATTTTTATCACGCCTGCATAGTCTTTGCACTGAGCTATGGAGTTTACAGTAAGTATTGTTTTCGGCCAAACACAGACAGAGGCCAACCCGCTTTCTTTGAGGCGTCTTCTTTCCGTTATGGCAGACAAAGTTTAATCGTTCATTCATTCGGATTTAATTTGTAGGTCCTTACGACGATTATTGTGCCAATTCTTTTGCTGTCTAGATGGCAACAGACTTCAGTTTTTCTTATTAAGTGTTTACTGATTCGAAAGAGTCTATTTAAAGTTAAGGTAAATATATAAAAGGTTGGTAGACGTGGATCTACTAACCTCCTATATATTTTTTCCATTTATGCAGGAAAATCAATGCACTTTTATTGTGATCTACTTTTCAATAATCTTAGCCGCATTTTGATTGTGATAACTTTTAGTTGATGTTAACAGTCTGCGTCTGGGTTTTGGTGGACAAAACCAGAAAACATTAGTTTTATCTAAAAAGTTTTAAATACGAGAGATGAAAAATAGTTTCTTTATCTTTTTCGAGGAAAATTCCATATAATTTTTTGACGACCTCCGTGGCCGAGTGGTTTGTACGTCGGGTTTCATAGTGTCGCCGACTCGAGAGGTCCCGGGTTCGAATCCCGGTGGGGGCAGATGTTTGTGTGATGAATACGAGCATTTGTACCCCAGTCATGGATGTTTAATATGTATTTCTATATATATATATATATTTATGTACTATATATGTATTCTATCCGTTACCCTAGTAGCCCATAACACAAGCTTTACAGTGCTTACTTTAGGGCTAGGCTAATAGGGATGATGACTAATTTTTTTTTCTTCGTTTATCAGGTAGATTATCAAAAAGTATTGGACACGTATTTTTTCTTTTTTTACATAATATAAACATTGCAGAGATATATTGATTTGAAATTTCGCATGACGTCACGTTTGAGTACACTTATATGTGAAAATTCACTCAAAAGTGACGTCACGAGCCCCTACTCCCAAACTTTGACGCGCTATAACTTTGTCATTTTTTGGTTGGCTGCCCAAAGAAAAAATACGTGTCCATTATTTTTTGATCATCTAACTGACGGACTAAATAGAATTTCGTTTACTGTACCCCGTCATCACCCCTATTGGTGTGTGTTGGACATATTTATTTATTTATTTATAATAAAGAAATTATAAATTTATTTAAACTATGTATACCTACCTATTAAAAGAAAGAGATAACGTTTGTTTGTTTATATGTTTGGGGCGTAACCTTTAACTGATAAAAACCTATCTTCGAACGATAAATCTCAATTTAGATTGACAAACTTGGCATTACTAGTACTACTACTACTACGACTAATTATTTTACAAAGAACGGGGATAAAATAATTTAAAGTTTTTTGTTAAAGATTTACAATTAAGTGCACTACATGACATAAAAATTTTGGAGTCTGCTGAAGAATGACTACCACCCTCCATGCAAATTTGAAGCATGTCCTTTCAGACGACGGTATATAACACAATGTTCTTTCTGAGAGTTCTATAATAATTGCACATGCTCAACTGCGATACATTACATAAATACACGCGCCTAAATGAAGTACATTGATACTGACACTTTAGTGTATCTCAACGTTTTTCAGCTTTTAGGGTTCCGTAGCCCAAAGGATGAAGAAAAGACCCATATTTATGAAAAAAACCTTCGTTGTAAATATAGAAAGGGAATCTCTATGTATATATGTTACCGGCCAAACCCGATTTCAGGACAAACCAGTTTTGCCTAGGCTAAACTAGTTGTTCCTATACGCGATAGGATTAATTAGTATAGCCTAGTCCAAACTAATTTGTCCTAAGTCCGATAGGATAAACCAGTTTAGCCTAGGCCAAACTAGTTGATCCTGATATAAATACACACACTCTAGGATAAACTAGTACGGCCTAGTCTAAACAAATTTAGCAGAGTCGAAAGTAATTGAACAAATATGTCAGGACTTGTCTGTACAAGTGTTTCGTCATGTAAAAAGAACGATGGAAGAAAGTGGAGGGAGTGTGTATGCGCATAGATGCAGCTGCAACAAAAACTGTTCCACAAACAGTTGCTAATGATGGCAATGATACTCTGCAATTCAAGAAGGCAAGAAGGCAATGATACTCTGCAATTGTAAGTGGCACCAAAGCACACCATATAAAAATAAATAACAATTTTAATAATTGAGTTATAATTATTGCTTCTATTAAAAAAACTTATATTATTTGTTATAGTATAATTGTTTTTATTACTAATTATCCAAAACCTTTAACGATGAATCATTATCGTTTTAATAAAAAATATTATTTTTCCAATTACGGAGCATTTTATTCACTTTATCTATTTATTTTGACTTTCTAGATATACTATAATTATTAGACTAGGCCATACTAGTTTATCCTACAGTATGCGTATTTATATCAGGATCAACTACTTTGGCCTAGGCTAAACTGGTTTATCCTATCGGGCTTAGGACAAATTAGTTTGGACTAGGCAAAACTAGTTTGTCCTGAAATCGGGTTTGGCCGGTAACATATATATGTTTTTTTTTTCAGTAGATCTAGTATTTTCTGTCCATTCTATCTTTCGCCAGTGCATTTAGTTAAGTCCCAAAGAAACAGATCAACATTACTGGACACATTTTTATTTTAAACAAAAAACAATTAGATAATTGTATTAGGCACTTGCAAAACAAAAACATCAAGTTATAAATATATACAAAATGTTTTAAGTCCTTTTGCTCAAGTTGCCTTATTATGAGTTAATTGAATAGTCTTAGTTGCCACCGAAGCACAACTTGCCCCCCCCCCCCCCCTCCCTGGCGACGCCCTTGCTGTTGTTTATGATGGCCTTTAAAGGTTTTTCATTTAAATTTGCTCGTTATTTATTACACAATGCAATATAAGTACAATTTCATCCGTTAATAAATAAAACGAATCTCTTTTACCCACTCAGCCGTCTAGATTTGTACGCATTTTAATGCCTAGCATATCACTAGGCCTTTTGCTTATAGCATCCACTTAAGGCATTCTGCTTCGATGGCAACTCTCGTTTAGGGCGAAAAGCTTTCTAGACGGAACCTCCATTAAGATATAAAGCTCTCTTTGGCGATCAGCAATAAAGTAGCTTGATCAAAAGGGGTTTGAACTGTGGGTTTGCACAATAAAGGAAGATGATTGCACAATAAAGTATAGTATGTTGCCCTACCTACCTCACGACAACAAGTACCTAAGTTAAGTCTACCAGCCAGCAACAAATTATGATTTTTTTTTAATTATAACGCAAAATGAGTGTTAGGAAATTGAGAAATAGTCTTAGATTAAAACAAAAAGGGAAGATACGGCACTCGCGGCTCAAGTGATTCGGTTAAATTGTGTTGCATGACCACAGTTCGCTTTAGTCACAATTAGACATTCAAACACGCTGCGTGTGCACTCAATGTAACAATATGGCGTATAATCTGTGTTTTAAAGATAAAACAATGCTTTCGATGCTTTTATAAAGAACAAAAATAGTTCAAGATCAAATAGCAAAATTTACGGCATCACCTTTCATTCGTAAAACTATGAAAGCATATTTTTTTCTCAAAAATCACGGTTTATTATGAATATTATTTACATTTTCGATATTTGTTATCAAGAAAAGGACAACAATACAGCTCAGGCGTTTGTAGAGAGAGAAAATAAAATGCAATCGCCAAGCTAAGCGACGCGGACTCGCCGCGGCGCCGTTTCGCTCGCGCTGCGTTTAAGCGTAAAGTTCTGTCTCGCTCGCTCGATTGAATGTTTATTTACATAAGTGTGCGTGCGTGACAGTTGCTAATGTAGTTGAGTCGGAGCATATTTTATTCGATGCTAGTACGAGCGTACCGTATCTTCCCTTTTTGTTTTAATCTAAGGCAATAGTAATTTAATAAGTAATTATTGTTGCTAAAATAGTTTCTCTTATATTACATAGGCTGTTATCCCATCATCGTAACTAATAAACTAGGTAGTTTAACCCATAATCATCAGAGTATATTATATATACATATAATAATAAAGGTGAATAGGTGAGTATTCCATGCTAAACCCAAAATTCAAGGTAATCCTCCATGTCAGTGTGGAATGGAGGATATATATCACTGAAGGTACACAGTTTTAAGCACATATTTAAATAAAAACCAAAACTAAATAGTAATTGACCCTCAAAAAATACAATAGGTAACCTAACCTATATATAACCTTAACATTAACCCTCTTATTAATAAACAATGAATAAGCTTAAGACTAAATACATCTACTGGATGACAACGATCCAAAGGTAACACACAAGGCTCTCATGATCTACACCGACGGCTCTAAAACCTCATCGGGCACGGGCGCGGGTGTTTTCTCTGAGGACACATCGCTTTCCCCTTAAGCCCATACAACACAGCTTTCCAATGGGCATGTGGGCATCACACTGGCGGCAAGAGCGATCCTTTCAAGAAAGGTAACAGGACAGGAAATACGAATACTGTCCGTCAGCAAATCAGTCCTACAAGCTCTAGATGATTGTTTAGTCAAATCGAGCCACCTACAATCAAGGTACACAGTGGATCACGCGGAAACGACACGCTGGCCCGGAAGGGATCCGATACGACCCCAACAAATCCCGAATCAATCGTCCCGGCACCAGTAAGCTGTCTCGTCAATTAAATTCGCGAGCACACAGCCGCACTACACCAGCAACACTGGCTCGATCTGGAGATGTGCAGGCAGACCAGGCTCGCTTTGCCACGGATGAAGGCTGCCTTCTCCAAAACTCTCCTACAGCTAAGCAAAACCTACATTGCGCATGGTAACAGGTGCTATTACTGGACATGCACATTTTAACAGACATCTTTTCAACTTAGGTGTCACGGACAGCCCCCTATGCAGAGGATGCATGGAGGCAGAAGAAACAGCTACTCACGTTCTGCTGGAATACAACGGAGTGGCCGAATACCGGGCGAAATACATGGGCTCACCGGGAAACCTTCAAGAGGCAGTCACCAATGTGAAGGCCCTGGGGGCCTTCCTGGCGGAGCTGGGCTGGCTGAAGTGATTCTAGCCATACACCCACTCACGCAAAACAGGCGCCATAAGTACGTCGAGTTGCGGAAACGCCCGTAGCAAGAAGAAGAAGCTTAAGACTAGTTACGCTGTGTTTTGTTCATGTCACTCAAATGCCATTTGTCATTCAATAGACAGAGAGAAAACATGAAGTAACTAATCCAAGTATAGTCTTCGTTTATTAATAAGGGGGTTAGGGTTCAGGTTTTATACAGATCATTTAAATATTTCCCAATTTTTAGATACCCAACATTTAAGTTTGCTTGCATTATTTAGTATGTTAACATTTTACTTCATTCAGTCATCAATATTCCCTTCCTATTGACACACACAAGTATTATTTAAAGGTTGTGAAAAACAGGAATAGGAATGTTCCTGAAATGGTAAAAACGGCCGAGTGCAGACAAAGGGTGTATTCCGAAATATACACCAGTACACTGGCCAGCGGTAATGACGTCATGATTTAGACGCCATATTGACAACACTACTACTACACCAGTGATATATGGCGTCGAAATCATGACGTCATTACAGCTGGCCAGCGTACTGGTGTATATTTCGGAATACACCTAAGGATTACAATAACAAAATTAAACAGATATAAATTATATAAATTTTCTTTAGAATCAAACATGTAGCAGTTAAATGCTTAAAAATATAAGATATATAGATGCCTAAAAATAGGCAAATTAAAACTAAACAATGTAAGTATTGGGCATCAAAACAAAAGTGGAGGGAACCCTATTATGATCCATCATTGTGATGTTTGATGATTGAGAAGACCTACTAACTTTATTTTCTTAATAAAATCTTGACTAGGACTTTTTTCTTGCTAGATCTTCCAAAGCAGAGGCAATCCTGAAATAAAATGTGAATTTCAGAAAATTAAAAAATAATAAAATTATATTGAATATTGATTGGAATCACAAATGAGAGTTCATAAAAATTACCTGGATAGTACTTCTATTTTTTGAACTTTATATTCTCTTTCCAACTGCAATTTGTCTCTTTCTATTTTAATTATCTCTTCATCAAATGAAACTGAAAGAAATTGCCAATGTTAGCATAAAATAGTAAGGGCCACATTGAGCATGCCGCCTCTGAGGCCACCACTCACTGTTGACAGTCTGCCTCATGTCAAATGACACCATTGGCTAGACCTCATAAAGTGCAATTCTGGCTTTAAGATGGTTGTGTTGATAAGTTATCAGCCAGTGCAACAACACCCAGGTGCAGAGGTGGACTGCCCGTGCATACCTAATTTCATTTACTTCACTAAAACATGTGTTAACTTAACAGTCATTATTTACTTCACACTATACAAACTTTTGCCAAAGGGCAATCAGATTAATAATTGTAGTAAATGTGATATATGTAACATGTTAGTCTGAATAAAGGCTTATTTTATTTTATTTATTTTGTACAATTATCTACAATCAATTTGTCTGTATACAATTAATTTTCAACTAATTGGTCCTAATTAATTATAAATCAAAGATTATTTAATCTGAAAATATTAGCGCCCTTATTGGGAATTAAACTGCAATGAGCAACTTTGTAATTTACCACCAATCTTATTAAAAATCTCTTTTAGCTTGATACTTTTAATAAGTTTAGAATATTTCTAGATTTTGAAAGTTGCTGTATACATTTATATAAAACCCTCAAGAGAAAAGTAATGAGGATTAGAAGCCCACACATAAGAGATGTTTTAATATTTGACTCTTATAACATAGCATTTAATTAAATTACTATGATTTACCAAATCTTTTCTTCGCTGGAGGTGTGCTGCATTCACTATAACTTATTGCGTTTTCTTGAGACTCTGAGCTTGGACCCATGCTGGTATCACACATTGACTGCTGTTGTTTTAGTAAAGCCCTTTTTTTGGTATTAGATTTTAGATCCCGCCAAGTCTGAAAATTATTATTGTCTTATTATAATGATATTATAAAATAATTACACACAGGTCTACAGTGATTATCTTGCTGTCAAAACTATAACCGATTTTTAGTTTAATAAGTACCCAGATTATCAAGAATGTTAACACAGGCAGCACAGCAAAAGTGAAGCTAGAAAGAGAGGGAGATATATTGAATATAGAGAAAGGGGTAAGACAAGGAGACCCACTCTCACCAAAACTTTTCACAGCAGTGCTGAAGGACGTTTTCATACACTTTGAGTGAACACACCTAAAGTTAAAATTTAACGGTGAATACCTCACTAACTTAAGATTCGCTATTGAAATTATCTTGATCACGAAATCTTTTCAGGAGCTGCAAGTGATGCTTACAGATTTGGACACATACAGCAAACAAGTAGCCCTTAATATGAATGCAACCAAAACTAAGGCCAAGACTAACAGAAAAAAAGAATGATTATGTAGAAGACTACATATACTTAGGTGACTGCAAAGAAATTGACAGCCAGATCGGACATGCATGAAAAAGATATTGGTCCTAGAAATAATGCAAAATTAACATCATACTTAAAGGAAAGCAGTTTAAACCTATCATATATCTAAGAGCAACCTAACATACTTGCTTCCACTTCTCCACTGATTTAATCGCTCCACCCATTGAATTCAGGGTGTTAGTAAGGTCTTCCCATTGTGTTTCAAGATCCTCTCTTTCTAGTCCAGAGTTAGTGAGACCTTTCGCTAATTCGGAATGATCCTGCATAAAATCCATAAGAGCAGCTACTTGTGCTTGAGTTGCATGCCTTTTAGAGGTGTCCATTTTCAGATTGTTACTGTTTCAAGACATAAAACAATAACAAATACCTGACAACAACAACAATGTAGAAATATGTCAATTTCAAATTAAATATAAAAATATTCCTATACTTTAACATACATTTTACACAGATGCCAGTATTCTCATGAATTCTAAACTATCATTATCATTAATACATAAAAGAAACAGGAATAAAAGAAATATTAAGTTAAATAAGTATGTAATCGGCAGACGATAGAAGATAGGTTAATGACATTCAAAGAATATATTTTTTGTTTTTTTTTTTGGTTTAGTTCTCCCTGTTCAGGGAAGGCAAGGGGAACAATGCCCATACAGCCTAGTCTTAAGTTAAATTATTCTGTTTTTCTTTTTACATTAGAATGGTGCCAATTCTGGCGTGATTCTCTAAACTTAAATCTAAATTTAACATCAGTCTCTCCTTTTCATGCTGTATAGAGAATAACAAGGATACACTGTTGTCAAATTTAAGTTTAGGTTTAGAGAATCATGTCAGAATTGATACCAATGTCGGTGTGACGCATTCTAATGTTTCTTGAAGTGTTTGGCACGAAATGTATCGAGCTGGCTTTTTCGATAAGCTTCTGTGAGGTAGTCAATACTACAATAAAATTCTCACGTCCACTTGACCGGAATAGCGTATATTTTGACGATTCTACTAATTCTTCAGTTACGCAGACAGTTGTAACACAAAATCACACCAATTTTATTTCACAATATCCACTATGAACGAATTTAAGAATAATTAAAATAAGACGCCAACCACACTCGATGAAATCCCGCCAAAAACCTCCTTTTTTGTTTTTTTAGTTCCATTCTTCTTTATAGAGAAAGGCAAAGGCATAGCCATGCAGCCATCGTCTTATTTTTGTATTAATCTTCCTTTTTTTACTTTAGAATGTGGGTGTGACGCATTCTAATGCTTTTTGGAGTGTTTAGCACGAAATATATCGAGTTGGCTTTTTCGATAAGCTTCTGTGAGGTAGTCAATACTACAATAAAATTCTCACGTCCACTTGACCGGAATAGCGTATATTTTAAAGATTCCACTAATTCTTCAGTTGCGCAGACGGTTGTAACACAAAATCACACCAATTTTATTTCACAATATCCACTATGAACAAATTTATGAATAATTAAAATAAGACGCCAACCGCACTCGATGAAATCCCGCCAAAAAACCTCAAAGAGAATATAACCTAATTGACATTGACATTAAAACAGTGTTGCTATAGTATAATCGGCAGTTTAGAGTCGGCGCATACGAGTGCGTCACCGGCCGCCGTCATCGCGCGTGAAGACCCCGCTCCGCGCCCCCGTCACCCGCCCTTCCGCCACACCGGAGACGTCACGCGACTGCGCGTTAACACCAAAACGCGCTTACGCAGCTGCTGCCGCCAGCCGAACCGTCGCTATCACGCAACTTGAGCGGAAATCCACTCATCCAAAGGCGAGTAGCCAAGACATCCCTTCTGCAACTCCGACGGAAACACGTAACCGTAATTGTGACGAAGAAGAGGAAGCCCACTCGTCGCAATCTGTGCGGTGTCGCCCCGATCGGACCGAATAACCTGCTGCGTCCAGCGATACCTGTGACGCTCCTGTATGTGTCCCGCTTGCATTACACCACGAAGGCGGAGGGGATCGCAGAATATTTGCGTACGAAGACCAATTTCTCTCTGAGGGTCAGGTTTGGAGTCTCGCCACGACGTGAATTTTAATTCATTTGTGGTGAGAGTGCCGTCTCAACATCTGGCGACCTTTTTGAAAGAGGAGCTTTGGCCGAAAGGTGTGGTGTTCCGGCGTTTCAAAGACCTGACACCACTCCGCGCCACACGTCGCCGACTAAACGTGTTATTTAGAATTTGAAATTATTTTATATTTCATATCTATGTTAGACTATAAGGTATATATTTCTATGGGCCTACGATGCCTGAACACAAATAAATAATTAAAAAAAAATAAAAAAATAGGCTCTTATGATATGCACCTGGAGCGCAGATTCTGAACGTAGCCCTGCGTTCCAACCAAACCTATTGTACGCTCCAAGTGCTTTGAGTATCTGTTAAAGATACTGGATGACATAAATAAATGTCAGTTTGACGCATGCGTTTTAATTAAGACCTTAGGGTGCGGCCAGAGTGCACTCAGATTCAGATTCAGATTTCGAAAACAAGCGTGAGAAATAAACAGTGTAGTCGAAGGGTACGGCCAGATTGCACTCCTGATTCAGATTCAGATTCAGACTCAGAAAACAAAGCGCGAGAAAAAGCAGGCAACCTGCTTAGACTACACTGTTTATTTCTCGCGCTTGTTTTCGGAATCTGAATCTGAGTGCACTCTGGCCGTACCCTTATACCGTAAGCATTAAATGTGACTTTCAATGTTTACATATGACCTTATTATTGTTTTTGACTACGCGATCATCTTACGGAACTCCGTGGATCGTCCAATGTACCTTTTGGACAGGTTTCGGGCACGATTTTGTTCGTGTTGGTGTATCTAGGGTATTTAATATCGTTGGTTGTGACTTGTGACACGACCGCGCCCCATGCAGAAATGAAATGTTTATAATTTTCTGGCAACGACATCAACACTGCTACTACTACAGCGATACACGTTTAAATTCGTAATGACTTGTCACCCGTGGAAAGTACTAAGTGTTGCCGAATATTCGGCGTTTCGATCAAGCTACTCGCCGAATATTCGGAATTCGGCCAAATAACTATTCGCGGCATCTCTTCTATATACGTACTAGTCTACTACAATCTAATTTTAGAGGTAATACTCAAAGGCTACGGACTTTTATTGTTTTTGAGCGTAGCCCTACGGATTTTTAAAAAATAGGTTTGGCTACACTTGTTACGTTCAAAACCTACGCTCTGAGTGCAACTTTTTACCCTGACGTTTTGATGTTGACATAAAATGTATGAAACTTAAGCCTACCATTCACAGGCGCGCCAATCCGCCGGATTTGTCGCTGGCGACAAGTCCGCGGACAAATCCGCGTGTGAATGTATTGGTGAGCGCGGCTCGCGGCTCGGCGTGGCGCTCGCCGTCGAGAGACGCGAGCGCCGCGCCGCACCCCAGCCGCGCCGTACAAATCCGTACGTGTGTGTGCTTGCACAGATTTATCGGCGAACTTGTCAGTCATTTGTAGTGCGTGCACGCAGAACCACCTCTTAACTTGTTAATAGTGGATCACGTCTGTATCACTATTTTAACGTTTATGCGATAGTGTTTTAAGTCAAAAAGTTGAACATAATACGCATTTAAGTTGATATCAAGTTAATATCATTTTAAAGAGTTGATCATAATACGCTTAACTTGATGTCATTTTGATATCGCATTTTTCGGAGAGCATAATACGTAATGTGAAATTGACATCAAAACAATATCACGATTAGCGAACATAAAGAGCTAATTGTATCTCTTCTACAAGGGGTTTATCTCTTCTACGCATGTCCTCGGCATGAGCACGTTCTAAATAGTCCATTACTAACACGATACGAGCCATTTTACTCTTTTTTATTAAAAAATAAAGAAATTAGATACAGAAAAACCACCTCCTAACTTGTTAAGTCTGTATCACATTTTTGACGTTTATGCGATACTGTTTTATGTCAAAAAGTTGAACTTAATACGCATTTAAGTTGATATCATTTTAAAGTTGATGTCATTTTGATATCGCATTTTTCGGAGAGCATAATGCGTAATGTGAAATTGACATCAAAACAATATCACAATTAGCGAGCATAATTGGCCTGCAGTTGTGTTGTTTGTATCACGAACGAGTAAACGAGTATAATAACATGTCATTCGGCGATCATAAAGAGTTTTGGCAAGAATTTATCCTGCTGTTTAAGGCATTGTCCTAATACAACGCGATAACGCGAATGAGCGATGCGATCATCGTACGAGTCGACGATCAAACATATTCATCTAGAATAGGTGTCCTAATAGGCGACCACGCGATGCATTCGCGCGACTAAAATGTTTAAAAATCTATTCGCGCGAACGCGCAATCAAACCTATTAATGATGAATAGATGTCCTAACTGAAGTTCGCGCGATGATCGCGTCGCGTCGATAGGAAGCGGGGAGAGGGGCACTGCTAACCCGACCAAACTGTGTGTCAATCGTGATCGCGTATTCGCGTTCTATTAGGACAATGCCTAAAGAGAAAACTAAAGAGAAACAGGTGGTTTACAGGACTGAATGCATTGCAGAAATTTTAAATGAGTATATTTTGTTCGTTGTTTCAGCCATTCCTTTGTTCAGACGCTCTTTTTCTTTTTATTCTCCGTTAAAAGTATTGCACCGACAACTAAAGCGACTTTTGTGCGTTTGGAAAGCACCAGTGGCATGGTAGAGTAGGGAAGAACGATACGCGCGAGGCTCACCAAAGTACACAAGCGACTGGACTGCAACTCGGCGCTCGTGTAGTGTGTGGGCAATGACGGATTTGTCCACGGATGGGTACGGCTTGGGGTTCGGCTCGCGGTGCGTGTAGTGAATGGTGGGCTTTACGTCAAAATTGATAGTGGTTGCAAGAGGGACGAGTGTAGGCTGTCTCAATCTGTCAAAAACCGATAGGTCTTTTGGAATCTGCATTATGTTGTTTTCCTGGGTAAAAAATATTATCTATCTTATCTTTCACACACAGATTGCAGTTTCAGTGAATATTGAACAATTTCAAACTATTATTAAACTTTTTTATTTTTCTTTCAGGGTGCTAACTCCCATGGTCAACTAGGCTTAGGAGTTATAAATGAACAGGTTGAAATTGCTTCTATAGTTGATATTGAATGTATTGCAACTAAAATAAATCAAATATGCTGTGGAGGAGGTCACACTCTCCTCTTGGATGGAGAAGGAAACATTTTCTCCTGTGGCTGGAATCATAAGTTACAATCTGGAACTGACACTGATACACATAATTTTCAAAGAGTTTGGAAATTAAGTGGCATAAGATTCATCAATATTGCATGTGGTTGGGACTTTAGCTGTGGTGTTACTGACGACCAATTTCTTTTTGTCTGGGGCTCGAACAGTAACGGAGAGCTGGGTTTGCCTAAGTATCATTTTCCAGAAGTTGTTAGACCTGTTCGTTTGCAAATAAATGCTTGTGCTGTATCAATGGGATTGAAGCATTCTGCTATAATCAATTCAAAGGGAGAAGTTTGGATAACAGGGTATGGACGACATGGTCAATTAGGTTTAGGATCAGAGATTTTAACTTCAGACAGATTTCAAATAGTACCAAAAGTTGGGAAAATTTCTCACATTGCTTGTGGGCAGAATCACACCACTACTTGGAGTTCAGAAGAGAAAGCTTTATATGTTTGGGGTGATAACAGGCATGGTCAGTTATTGCTTGATAAAGAAAAATATAAAAAAGTATTTACTCCTCAAAAAATAGACATTGATGTCAAACAAGAAGTTAAAAAACTCTTGAGTGGATGGACAAACTCATTGTTATGGCTGGAAAATGGTACACTTGTTGCATGGGGTAGAAATGATTATGGACAGCTTGGCACAAGTGAAAATATTGTTGGAAAAATATTTCAAATAAAGTTACCAGGTATTTTAAATATTTGTTATGACAAATTTATATTAAATTAATCATGGCAAATATGTTTGATTACAAATTTGTGTTAAAATTTCTAGGTCATCGCCAGGTGCAAGATGTTGCTCTAGGATCAGAACATTCAATATGTTTAGCAACAGATAATACCCTCTGGTCATGGGGTTGGAATGAACATGCTAATACGGGAACTGGTATCAATGAAAAAATAGTATTTGCCCCTACTTTAGTTCCTCTACAGCTAGATAATAGTATAAAAATAACTCAAATCTATGCAGGAGGAGCTCAAAATTTTATAGTAACAACAGAAATGGAAGAAATTTATGAAAATAGCATAACATAGTAAAGCAGGGATTCTAGTCAAATCAACCATTTATTATACATTTTAAAGGTGCTGTTGAAATATTGTGATGTAGCATTAATTTTTAATTTTTTGTTGATTTTCATTGAAGTCAATAATTATATTAAGTATACAATTTCATTACTAATGGTATCTTCCTAAATGGTAGCTCCGTCCCTCTCCTCTCCCTCCATCCCGCTCTCCCTCAGTAGTAGCCAAGTTGATTTCACCAATATTTTCTTTTTGTGCTATTAGAGTGTACGCTTCCTTAGCAAGACCATACACGGACCGCATGTTGCAGTCGCGGTTGCCGCACGGCGATCTGCAGTTTCCATACTAAATTCATATCCACAATATACCTAGGCCCTAGAGGGGGGGGGGGGGGGCAAGTCAGATTTTCCAGGTCGGATCGTCCGCGGCGTTTTGTCATACACACAAACACCTTCATGAAACATTAGGTATATCACAACACAATAATTAATAAATTGAAATATTTCTATACTTTGATTATATACTGGTACCAATTCTGGCGTGATTCTCTAAACTTAAAACTAAAGGAGATTGCTCAGCTTCCATACATGTTTGGCCTAAAGACCAATAATCATGAAAAATTGTTTCCTAGATTCGAAATTATATATAAATTACTGTAGAAACGAATATTATTGACGGACACCCCTGAGAACTTCTATAAACCATATACACTGAACATATTAATAGTTATTTATTATACAAGAGTGGAAAGTTCCTTTTTAACCGCGTGCTCGATTTGGATGACCGAGCAAGCGAAGGATTCTAAAGTTGAATCACGAGCGCAGCGAGTGATTCTAAATTAGAATCCTGAGCGTCAGCGAGGGAAACAAACGAGCACAAGGTGAAAAATCTTTCCACTCGAGTGCAATACGTAACTTTTCATCCCACCTCAGCGAGGAAATGACAAAATGAAAAAGAAAACAATTTATAATGACAAAATATTTAAGCAATAAAACGTGAAAAACTAGAATGGCGCGAAGCACGCAAATAAAACAAAGAAACCAAGAAGGTTCCAAATTTAAATTTTTTCACAATTTAAAAAGTTCTAATCATAAATTTGGCACCATAGAGGTTACATTAAATAGGTTTAATGACGTTTTGAATTTACAATTATATTGAGTACTCATTATATGTGATGTTCTAAATTCAAATCTACTTTGCCGCTCAAGCGAATAAAATAGAATTTTCCAGCCAGATTTCGAAGCGCAAAATTACACTTTCCGAGGTGGTGGGATGAAAAATAATAAAAAACAAATAAGTTATATAGTAAACTAGGGAAATCGAGCCAAGTACCGAAATTATGGATTAGATTCAGGTATATAGAGCATACCCTTAGTTAAATACCTTAAAGTCTAACTTAAATACAGATTATAATGTGTTTATGGAGACTTTATGATGTCGCCTACCATCTATAATAATTGTCAGAGCACATTTGCACCTAGTGAAAATGTTATTATAGTTGTGGATATTAATACCACAGTGTAATAAAAAAAAATGATTTATTTTATCGATTTTTACAAAATAGATTTGTTTTTATGTTATATAAACAACTTCGATCAGTCTTTTGCTGAATGTTACTACACCCATAGCCATTAAAAATGATTCGTATGTTTTCCAAACCGGTAAAATTAAAAGTCCTTTTTAAAGTAAATATAATATACAAAGGTGTCCGTTGAAATCTAATTACTGTAAATTAAATTATAAATTACGCCAAGAATTACCGTGTATGTCAATATTTTTTGTGCATTTAGGCCAATTTGAGCAATCTCCCTTAACATCAGTCTCTCCTTCTCATTCTGTATAGAGAATGACAAGGATATACTTCTGTCACATTTAAGTTTAGGTTTAGAGAATCATGCTAGAATCGACACCACTGTTATATACATACATATATATAAAACCTTTTCTAATTTGGCACATGTATATTATTTTAAGAACTTCTTTCGATTTGCAACATTTCATATATTTTGTCGTGTTCGTTATCAAATTACAATAGAAAATAAGATTGCAGTGATCGCCTTGCACAAAGCGGATATGGAGCAGTCGGTCATTTTCCAGTCCAGACACTTCAAAAGTTTGGTGTCAGCTTGGTCAGCTGTATGTTCGTATATCGTACATCAATAGATTCAATAACACTTCGTTTGTCGAAGACCAGAAAAGATCAGGGCGGCCGTGTGCTGTTAGTACTACAAAGGCTGTTAAAGCCAGAATTCGTCAAAGCCCCATTAGGAAGCAAAAATTCTTATTGCGAGAAATGAAGATTCTCTGATTCTCTGACGAGACTCTGTAGATTATTATAAAACAAAAACAATGAAGTTCGGTGCTTCTAAATCAATCTTCACAATTAAAGAGAGTGGATCGATCAAAACGCCTTGTGTCGCGATACGCAGGTGAAAAGCATAGAAATATCGTCCTTACCGATGAAAAAAAATTCACTATTGAAGAAAACTACAATAAGCAAAATGATAAAGTGAACGCTCACAGTTCTAAAGAAGCTGCTCAAGTGGTCGGAGAGGAACAACGTGCTCATCATCCTGCGCCAGTGATGGTTTGGTGGGCGTGTCTGATCAAGGAGTCACAAAACTACATTTTTGTGAAAAAGGAGTGAAAACTTCAGCCAAAGTATATCAAGATACAGTCTTGGATCATGTTGTGAAACCTCTCAGCAATACACTTTTTAAAAATATACCGTGGCCTTTCCAGCAGGATTCTGCACCTGGTCACAAGGCACGAACTACCCAAGCTTGGCTTGAATCCAACGTTCCGGACTTTATAAGAGCTGAAGACTGACCCACATCTAGCCATGACCTCAACCTTTTAGACTTCAAATTATTGATTTCCAGTGGGGGGGGGGGGGTGCCCCCCCCCGGGTACGCCTATGAAGCTAAGGATCAAAATTTTCCCTGTGCTCCTCGATCGCTCACTTTCGTAGGCGTTGGTTCATTTTGAAACAGCCAAAACACAAACAGACGCTTTGTTTCTGGATCGTATTGACAAATCCAGGATTTGTCACCTGTCACTACTTATATCGTAAATGCGCCGTGACGAGCCTGCATTAAAGTTTTGTATCATATGACTGCACCAATCCACACGGGCCTGCTTCTGAGCTTAAGGTGAGGTTGTGCAGCACCCAGCAGGAAAGTATCCTCTTTACGCAAAGGTGCTCGTGCAAAATCTTGTGAACACTTCCTGAACCAATCTGCAGAGTATGCTGAATCTATTCGTACCCAATTCGTCTGTTTTGTTGAATTATTTTTTTTACTGCCAGCACACTTTCTTCGGTGACAGCCGTCGTCGGACGACCACTCCTTTGTTCATCCCCCAAAGTAAGATGACCGCGTTTGACTCGCTACACCACCGGTAGATGGTTGCTTTTGAAGGTCCTTCATCCATAAAAGCAGGTCGAAATCGATCAGATGACTCATCAGGTTTTAAGTCACATTTAAAAGTGTAAAAAATTATAGCACGAAAATATTCTCGATGCAGATCCATTTTTTAATAAGACAACTCAGAATACAGAAAGACAAGAAGAATTTAATAGGCTCTCGAAAACTGCAAAAGGAAATTTTAAAAATCGAACAGTGGTATTTTTGCTGTCAAATAATCGAAGTTTCCAAATTATTTACAAGTGGTCAGTGTCTTATACCTACATAAAAACTTTTTTTCGCAAATATTTCTGAGTGGTCTGGTACTTGCATAGTGTGCGCTTTAAGATTCCTCGCACCTGGGGGTATTCGAAAATACCCCGGTATGTTCCGAGATGAGTAAATCCTACAACTAAAGTTCAAACTTTCAAGCCTTTTTTGAGTAACTTTAAGTAATGTCAGGAAGCTGAGTTATATTTTTTATTAAAACAACATTTAAGACAATTAGGTATGTCACAAATAAAGACTGAAAAATACCTGCAACGAAAACAGATATGAATTTTTGAAACCTCGCTGGCAGAAATCATTAAAAATACCCAAAAAAATTATAACTCGAAAACTAAGAAAAATCGGGGTATTTTCGAATACCCCCAGGTGCGAGGAATCTAAAAAAAATGTTGACGTCACTAGTTGGACCATCCTGTATATGTATAGACCGGTTACATAAACGCCAACTTTATTTTTAAAATGGCACAAGCAGTCCCAAGTAGTAGCCCTAACTTCCCTTGGCAAAAGCCGCCAATAAAGCGGACTGAAATTCTCTCTTTCACTCTATTGCTTAAAGCAGATAACATCTCGTAAAAATCGTCTTAAGGATATTTAGCCTCCACGTTCTCAAAATATTTTTACATTAATTTATTTAAGACTAGCTTTTGCCCGCGACTTCGTCCGCGTTATCGTCGTTTTTCGTAAAAAAGTAGCATATGTCCTTCCTCAGGGTTCCATGGTTTTGATGTGACAGACAGATTAACTTTCGTATTTTAGTAGGGAAATATAATACTGTTAAAAATATCGCAATAAGGAACCGCAGAATATTATTATTATCACTGTGCCCCGAGAACATCAGCGTGTAACTCCTTGTATGTTATTATGTTAATGTATTGGTAATATTGTTTAGATCGCTTTCACATGAGCCTTAAGTACTTAAAGAATGAAAATACTTCAGCGCAAAGCTTCCGGGTAGACTACGTTGAAATTTGACCCGTCCGGAACGTGAACATAAAATATTCTAGGACTGCTAACCCGGGAAAGACCGACATAACTGACCATGTGAAAAACAACTGACACCGAGATCTACTCCAACAACACGAAAGGTCTGCCCTTGAGCCTTATTTATTGTCATTGCATAACACACCGATACTGGGAATTGCGTTCTTTTAAATTGGAATGGAAAATTATTTGGTATTATGGGAATTCTGGGAATAAAGATGGTTTCTCCTGCACCGCAACCTATTAAAATTTGAACCTCGATTACATTTTGTTGCAACTGGGTTACTTTAAGCCGAGTTCCATTGCAAATTTGTGGTGGTCTTAAATTTTGGAGCAGAATAATCGGAATGCCAATTTTTAAACAAATTTCATGAGAAGGAAGTACGGGCATATTTAAAGAATTTAAAAATTCTATCGGGTAATTAGTGGCTTCTTGTTCATCGGCCATTCTATTTATTGAACTATAAACTTTGCTTTCCCCCTGGATATTCGACAGTATTTTATTATTAATCTCAGATGCCTGGTGCGAGGAGTTAAAATGGTCCTTTCGCATAGCCAAGAATTGTTCTTATTTAATATATTTGTTACGTCACCGTAAACTGACGATGTAAGATGTTGTTGGGATTGCACTATACAACATAACTCAGGCGTCAGAATAAGTTTTCCTTGGTGTAGCAGTGGATAGGTATCTTTGGTGAAGGTATTTTCTTTAATAATATATCAGAAAATTCACGATCATCCGGGTTATCTACAGTTCTCACTCGCATGTTTATAGTCAAATGCACCGATTGTATATCACGCCACAAATAAGAGCTTTTCAGGCAAGCCCTAACCTCAGCAGCTCGGGTTCCCCGTGGTATTACCGTTAAGGTTTGTCGGAAATCACCACAAAACAAAACTGTGATACCGCCCATGGGTCGATCATTTTGTCTTATATCTCTTAAAGTTCTGTCTACCGCTTCTACTCCTTTTCGATGGGCCATCGTACATTCATCCTATATGATTAAATTACACTTTGAACGAATATTTAAACACTACCAAAACAACTAATACGTGGTCCTAACTTTAGCTACCTTACACATAAAATCTAAGTGACTATTTGAACTAAAATATTCTTATAGAATTATAACCAAAAATATATACAACTCACAACAAAAAAGAAATGAAAATAAAGCTGAAACGCCTGTGTAATACTATCTAGCTATACCTCCTTCACTTAAAAATAAATACTTATAACTACTTTAATTAATAAAAGTACCTACGCTTAATAATTTTTAATTTGAACGAATATTTAAACACTACCAAAACAACTAATACCTGTTTTACAAAATAACAACAAAAGAAATTCAAATAAACTATTTAAAGACTAAAAGTCGCGCTGATAAGCACGGTTTCGGTCTCCCAGGCGGGGGGGCAGATGAGAAATCCTCATGGATACCCTACAGCCGGCTGCAAGGTTATGTCAGACTCGTACTGACTAAAAAACACCCGTAGGGGCTGCCTCTGGCCGGGAAGGCCTCTAAGGCTTCGTCGGAAGCGATCGTCCCCCAGGGGGGGAGCGACGCAGAAAACAGATTTAGACAGCTCGCTCTCGGACCTTTGATACCCTACCGCTGCCGCGACCCGTGTCGAGCGCGGCAACCGTTACACAAAAATAATCCTTATAGCATGATTCAGTATCCACGTGCGACGGCGCGATGGCTTATTTCATGTATAAGTTTGGTGTTTCTATACCGAGTATTATAAACGTAAGAGTAAACAAATATGATCAGAATGCTCCGAACTGCTAAGCTATCGGGAGTTACACGTGTTATTGTGAGTCAACCATAAAAGATAGACATATGCTGTTGCGGGATATTTTTTAGACAATTTTATGTAGAATATTTCCGTCATACATGGTTTCTATGTAACTTTAATCATTAAGGCTGCACACGCGACGGAAGCTTAAAAAATGGAGTAACTTCTCCCGTTTTCCAACATTTCCCTTCACTACTCTGCCCCTACTGATTGTAGCGTGATGAAAAGTATACTATAACCTGCCCAGGAGTATGAAGAATAATTGTACCAAGTTTCGTTAAAATCCGTCGAGTAGTTTTTGTTTCTATAAGGAACATACACACAGACAGACAGACAGACAGACAAAAAATTTACTGATTGCATTTTTGGCATCAGTATCGATCACTAATCACTCCCTGATAGTTATTTTAAAAATATATTTCATGTACAGAATTGACATCTCTACAGATTTATTATAAGTATAGATATAGACTAGGTACTTACGAATGAGATTACACGTTTTTCTCGTCTCTAATAGTTCCCGTGGTATTTGTGTACTACTTAAAACAGACATAGGGCTTTTTGTCTGGAAAAACGTACACGTTATATATAGCCTGTGGTTATAGCGAAGTATAGCCGCGGCGAGAGAGAGAGAAGAGAACGTGCCCGGCTGAATGCAAGTCGGGCAATTACTCGACTTTCGTATTGCCAAATTAGAAGCGTGTATGACGTAAAAGGGTGCGGCCAGAGTGCACTCAGATTCAGATTCTGAAAACAAGCGCGAGAAATAAACAGTGTAGTCTAAGCAGGTTGCCTGCTTTTTCTCGCGCTTTGTTTTCTGAGTCCGAATCTGAATCTGAATCAGGAGTGCAATCTGGCCGTACCCTTCGGGTGCGGCCAGAGTGCACTCAGATTCAGATTCAGATTTCGAAAACAAGCGCGAGAAATAAACAGTGTAGTCTAAGCAGGTTGCCTGCTTTTTCTCGCGCTTTGTTTTCTGAGTCTGAATCTGAATCTGAATCAGGAGTGCACTCTGACCGTACCCTTCGACTACACTGTTTATTTCTCGCGCTTGTTTTCGAAATCTGAATCTGAATCTAAGAGCACTCTGGCCGCACCCTTCGACTACACTGTTTATTTCTCGCGCTTGTTTTCGAAATCTGAATCTGAGTGCACTCTGGCCGCACCCTAAAACACTAGCGGCCCGCCCTCGCTTCGCTTCGGTGTAGAGCTGAAGTGTAGGCTACAGTTTTTGTTCTCAGACTTGTATTATACACAATGACATTCATCTATGATACTTCTTATACCTGCATGCAAAGTCTCAGTCCGATCGGTTTAAAATTGACAAAGTTTCATACAAACTTTCATTCCCTATTTTATCCCCTTGGGGGTAGAATTGATCAAAATCCTTTCTTAGCGGATGCCTAGGTCATAACATCTTCCTGCATGCCAAATTTCAGCCCGATCCGTCCAGTGGTTTGGGCTGTGCGTTGATAGATCACTATGTCAGTCAGTCACCTTTGAGTTTTATATATATAGATTATAGGGAGACTGCTAGTCCTTAAAATATTGTTCCATGCTAACGCTTTTTAACAGATTTGAGTTTAGAGCTTAAACCAATATGCTTTAAGAATTCAAGTGATAATCGCCGAGCTCTTTACTGAGCCACTACATAACGCCGCAATTTTCTCTTAGTTTCTGTAAAAATAAACATTAACCTTGAAATAAAATTACACAAAATTACAGTGTAAGTTATCGAATAGGCCAACTTATGAGTAGCCATGGGCTCGAGATTTTAAAATACGCCCCTGATGCGCATCATATTTGCATAGAACAAGTTCACAACAAGCCATACTATATGGGCTCGCTATACAAAATACCGCGCAATAATTTGAATTGAACGCACCTTAAGGCCCTTTGCAGACGACGGGGCGGGGCGGGCCGGTCAATTTCGCCGCGAACGATAGCACAAAGTGAATCCTATATTACAAACGCACACAGAGGGCAAGACCGCGCCGCAGGTGCCCGGCGGGCACTGGCGGCGCGGCATGTCCGCGGCTGCCCGCCGTGGATCATACAAACCAGTTTAACCAGGTCAGCTCAATCCGCGCCACGCGCTTTTTAGTGATGGACTATTCACTAGAACGAACGTCCTGAACTGACCTCCTCTGCCCGTCGTGTGCTGTGTGTACGCGGCGCGGGCAGCCGCAGACATCGACGGGCAGACACGGTTTTTATTGCTTCGCAGACAAAATGCCCGCGCCGCCCCGTCGTCTGCAAAACGCCTTAGATGTTATGATGTTGAAAAGTAAAATAAATAATCGGGACCACTTTATTATGATTTTAAAAATAAAAATGCATATCTACTTTTCACATATAAAATATTTAATTCTAGGTTTTAACAGACTAATTAATCTACTTCTTATTTTATTAGTTGTTAAATGTTTCTGTAATATACAAAAATCTCTAAGACTAGTTCCATAGTAAGAGGTGAAATTCATAGTTAAAAATTATTCAACACACAAGTCTGTGTAAATCATATAGAGGGTAAGAATACTGTATTGGAAATACTTAATTAGTAAGAAAAATAGTTAGGTAATTTCACCTCATACCACTTCAGAAGTAGCGACAGGAACAAATATTCATTGTCATGCATTCCATGTGGTTAACACCATAATAGCAGAATGCAAACAGGTAAATGTTATTATATGAGAATTTTATTCCAAAGCAGATTTATTGTTGATTTACTTACATATCAGTTATGTAAACTCATAATTTTCAAAAAGATGTTCTCGTCTTATGCAGAAAATCATCGTCAATAATATACAATTAAAACAAACATAAATTAATGGGTAGGCAATACAGGAAGTTTACTATGGCATTTAACTGTTACCTCATCTAGATATTAGCTAACAAATCTTCTGCATGATTTGGATACTCTCAAAATAATAAATATAAAAACATTGTTTGGTAATGTACTAACATAATCGTACTTTTTTTTAAGTTAGTACTCTTGCTTGGCGTCAATAAGTAAAAAGAACTCAATACTTCCTCATTCAATTATTGCTACTCAGTGTATGGTGAAATCCTAAGAAATGCATTAAAATAAAATATAAATAATTTACAAGGAGCAAAAAATTCTCATTAGAGTCGATTCTGGCATGATTCTCTAAACCTAAAATTTAATTTGACAAGTGTATCTTTGTCATTCTGTATACAGAATGAAAAAGGGAGACTGACGTTAAATTTAGTTTTAAGTTAAGAGACCGCCCATGTGTACCATAACATTACATTGAAATGAACAGTATTAATTTTGATATTGCATTTTATTTATTTTCTTTTTCTATTAAGGCGATTGCACATATTATGTCAGCACCGTACGCGTCGCATTTCCAGGATTACGGCGCTTACGGTGCGGAAATATGTGCGATCACCTTTAACTAGGTATAGCAAATAACTATATGAATTTGATGTAGGTATAAATATTAAGAAGTATTTATAGCTAGTTAGTATTTTTATCAATAAAAATGGGTCTTAATGTCAAGGGCCAGGCTCAGTCACTAACTCACTTAAAACTACTGACATATGGGGGCTTAAATAATTTTTTTGGTCATTCTATGGATTTCATAATAACAGACAAATATATACAATAATAATATGCCTTGGCATGATGATCTATTATTCTTCAAAATGTAATCCTGGATTAAAGATTATTTCTTTCTATGGTATGGTATGGTATTATGATTATTTATTTTATGGTAAATTAAGATAGTAACATTGATGATTTCATTAACAATGGTCAAAATAAATACCTTCAAAATATTTAACATAAAAATCATATGAAAAGAGAATAAGATAATCATTTTAAATAACCTTCAAAGCCCATTTTGAGATAACAAAATTCTTTATTAACTATCTAAAAAGCAAATCATATTATTCTTATTAAAAGAAACATTAAATTAAAAGCTCAAAATGTATAAAACTTACAATACCCTGCCTGATAGTCTACCTGCAACTCCTTTCAATTTAACATGAAAGATTTACAAGCTCATACTGGACTAAATCTGAATGACTAAATAAACTCCATAAATAGTGGGTGAACTTTGTAAAATATTTGTCAATGCCATTGATAAACACAAACAAGAAGGCAATGTTAATAAATGAGAATGATGTATATAAAGTTTAAGTTAAAAACAGTACAACCCCCCACCCCCTTACTCCCATTCTGACTTCAGAGATGATTAAAGTTCAGATACTTCACACAACAGTTACCCAACCAGGGGAAAAAACCTCACAAAGATCTGTTGCTTGGGGCTTGTAAAAGTATAATAATGTCTTTTTATACTGTCTGCAATTATACGAAATTCAATTGCATCATACAAATTGCAGAGGGGTATAATTTCATAAAGGTCCCTTGATCTAAAAATTTTTAATTTAATAAACCTAGCCAGCACTATAATGTAAGGAAATACATAAGTTCCACCATTATCATATAACATTGTCAAGTTAGTTTGTAATTAGGTATATTTACAACTAGGTTCAAATTGGAGTGGAGAGTGTTAAACTACTACCTTTCAAAAATAAACATGTCAGGATTTCTTGCTTGTATTCTATTATACCGAATGACTAGCTATACATGATTGATATAAAATATAGTCTGATTATACCAATTTTGTTTACAATTATATGAACAGCCCAGCTTGAAAAGGAGATGAAGTTAAATGATCAGGCTAGAGTTTCAATTTTATAGACAATATAAACATTTTAACTATCCTGCATCTGATATTTACATCTTTTTTTTCATTTCAATATAACACTTTTATATATGCAAATTAATAAATTGGTTACTACTAAAATTTACCAAAAACATGAGGAATTTTCTCAAGATTCACAGGATTTTTTAGTTTTACTAATATTAAAGTTATTTGAGCATATTGCTCATTTACAATATTTAGATTGCTACCTCTTTCTCTCACCCTTTTGTGTTTTACGTTTTTCTTTTTTCTCCTCTTTTAATTGTTTTTGTTTCTCCCTGAAACAAAGATGTTTTCATTAACTTGATTTCATCAAATGCCTTTTTTTCTTATTCAATTTATATTACTTCATTAAAAAAAAACTGGAAAAGTGCAAGACTGACTAGCCCACTGAGGCTTGTGTTGCAGGTGTGCAACATAAAGGGCTGTATCTTATTTTACGGTAACTTAAAAGTTTGTTTAGTTTCAGGCTGTAAGCAACCAAAGACTTGAGTATATGATTTGAATTTTAACTCGATACCTCCACTTTCACACTTTTGTTAGATAAATGGTCTTGACAGACAGACAACCAAGTGGAAACAAAGTGATCCCATAAGAGTTACCTTTTCAGATACGGAACCCTAAAAACTAACATGGATTACCAGGAATGAGCTGTACTACGAACATTCACTACAAAAAAAAATTAATGATTTTTAAAGAAAATATTACTAGAAAAAATTCCACCCAGACCATTTTTTCTAGTAATATTTTCTTTCCACCGAGACCATTTTTTCTAGTAATATTTTCTTTAGATTTAAACATGGAGCAGTTACATGCTTAAAATTTTTTTTTTTAAATTAATTAAGTTGGTTACTTATCATTTATTATTGTACTATTAAACATACCGGTCCTCTTTATCCTTTTCTTTTTTTCGCTGAGCTTCTAAACGAGCATGTTCACGACGTTCCCGAGCTGCTGCTGCTACATCAGCAGCATTCGTATTTTTAACTAAATCATGATTTTCCGTCACTACATCATTTACTTCGTCTTCCTACAATCAGTCGAAATTAAGATTTTAATTATTTCATACATGATTAATAGTTATTTTGCACTGGTAATTTACAAATTTAATATACCTCATTATCAGAGAGCTGGCTATATTGGGACAATATAGCTTCTCTGATCTTCTTCTCCTCGTCGGTATATTCTCGGCGAGTAGTCGTAGCAGGTGCCTGTGATTCAAGCAACTTAACTAACTGTGCATCAACATCTGCCGCTGGCTTCGCAGCCTCCTCCTTTGGTTTACATGATTCCCATTTGTCTATTATTTCATTTACATGAATTGATATGTCTCTTTCCTGTCAATTATCAATTAGAGGCTCATATTATCGAAAAGATAACCAAAATATTGATTTACCACTTTACTTACCACAATTTCGGACAATATGCCTTCCAATGCATCCTTTTTTTCATCGGTGCTTTCCTCGCTTTCAAGAATTCCTGAAATGTATGACCCAAATACACCTTCATCAGTTTTAAGAGATTTTAATTTATCAGTTAACCACGGCTCAAACTCACTCGCCGCAGCCGCCATATTTAAAATCAGTGTGGTGTGACCAGTAGTCAGTAGGCCTATTCCAATACAGTACCCAATTTCAAGGGACCCTTGCCCTGAGTAAGGGTGGTATAATATGAGTTAGGGAATAAGGGACCCAATCTAGGGCGATCGGAGCGGTGCCATAATAACTACCCTAGCTAGGGACCACACCCACCCTTTCGATACGGCCCTTAAAATTGGGTAATGTAAATGCCATTTTACTCCTTTTGATAGATGGAAGTGATCTCTGATATTTATTCTGAAAAGCATCGATAGATATGCAATTTTTTCTTTGATTACACACTATCAATGTGAAAAATTTAGACAATAGGCATGGCTCTAGGCGGGGTGGTCTCGAACGTCATTTCACTGGCAGAAATCAATAGAGCTACCCATTAAAATAGGTATATTTGTACCAGCGTTGCCAGATTTTTTATTTGCCAAGTCGGGAACTTTTTGAGTGAAAAAAGCGGGATCCCTTCGTCGAAAGCGGGACATAGTAAAAAAACGTATATTATCAAAACTAATTGAATATTTATTTTTATAACGCGCCGGGCAGGCGGCCAGTCCGCACTTGTCTGTACCACCCGCCCGCGCTTTCTTAGTACGCTGCACGCACGGTCCAGTTATTCCCGAATTTTGATTTAAAAATCGGGACGTCCCGCCAAAATCGGGACGTCTGGCAACGCTGATTTATACCCAAAATCGGGTTATGCCTTTTTTTTACGACATAACCCGATTTTGGGTATTAATACTAAAACTGTTATTAAATACGTGTCCGGCCTGCTAGCCTCACCACATCGAATGCGAGGTGAGTATGCTATTAAATAGTGCGGAAATAGTGCCTATTTAGTGCAATAATAAAAAAAATCTTCCTTTGAGCTCTAATAATGTATGCTTTCCAATTACAGAGCATAATGCGACTCAGTGCCGCACAATGCCCAATTATGCTGATGCTTAATTGGAACGTGAATTAGTTTTCAAATGCACCAGCAGAGTGCGCTAAGTTCAGTGTTGAAAAAAAAAAACAATGTTTGTACCTTCATCCATACTTATATTTATTTTTTAACAGTTTGAATGAACTTTGATTATTTAAAAAAAACTATTTAATGAAACGAAAGCTTTAATAATTTTTCAACAATAAATAATATTACTAACGATAACATATAAATAAAACATTTCGATCAATGCCAACTTAAAGAAAAAACACTTGTTAATTTCCTGTCTCTAAGTTGGTACCATTGCACGCATCACACGAAAGCATCACTTTTGAGAGTGCTCAATTGTGCGAAGCGTTGCTGTAGTTGGAACACTCAACGTTAAGCATTATGCCGCATAATGCGCTATAATGCTGTAATTGGAAAGCAACCAATATCTCTATAATAATTATTTAAAAGAAAATTACAGTTTTTATAGTGTACGCTGGCATGACGAACAATTTAGCGTACACTAAGCCATTTTCGAAAACAGCATATTGTTATGCAACCAAATTTTCACAGAAAATAGTGCTCACACTATACTAAATTTCATAATCATAGCTCATAACGGAAAAAATATATTATATAACATGACTTACAAACAACCTTTGGAGCTGGCGACATGCCTATTTTAAATATCGCAATCATGATACAGCTGGTAGCAAAAGAAATCAGAGGGCAGAACTTACTATTATGCAAGAGTAAAAATTGTATGAAAATACTATACATTTCTCCGCTTGATTAAGTAATTTGTTTAAAAACCTTCACTTAATTATTACATGAACAATTCAATAATAGATATTAAATAAATTAACAACTAAAGGCCAATTCAAGTAAAAAAATGGGATGTTGCTAGTTGGGAATGTAAATTAAACATCTTACATCCAGTCGAGTTACATCTTGAGGCAAACTATGGGAAAAAATAATTGGCCTCGGTACACCCAGGTGAACTATGTAGGTGGGACATGGGCAGATACAGGATAAAACCTAATATAAAAAATAGTAGTAAAATCCGATTTTATATTTTGAAAAACCGATTATTATTATAATAGAATATTTTTTCACATCCCAAACGGAACCCTGCTGCTAGCTGGCCGAAATGTTCAATTTTCACGGCCGTAAAACTTAAAAAAAAAAACTGTTGCTAGCTACGCTACATCTGTGCGCTACATAACCTAATCTGTGGAGAAGCGTAAGTGCATTGTAATCATTAGACAGTTTCATTAATATTTTTTCCATAAAAAGTGTTCATATTGTCTAGTAACTGTAAATTATTCATTTAATAAAATGTCAGCACGTTACGATAGAGCTATTACTGTGTTTTCGCCTGACGGTCACTTGCTGCAAGTTGAATATGCTCAGGAAGCTGTTCGTAAAGGATCTACAGCAGTAAGTAATCGCGTATTTAATATTTAGGAACTAAGAACAAATAGTAGCTGATTTCTTTTATTTCACAGGTAGGTGTTAGGGGCGCTGATGTGGTTGTATTAGGCGTTGAAAAAAAGTCGGTTGCTAAGCTGCAGGAGGAACGAACTGTAAGAAAAATATGCCTTCTTGATGATCACGTCGTAATGGCTTTTGCCGGTTTGACAGCCGATGCCAGAATACTTATCAACAGAGCTCAAATTGAATGCCAGTCCCACAAACTTACTGTTGAAGACCCTGTAACTTTAGAGTACATCACCAGATATATAGCTGGCCTGAAACAAAAGTATACTCAGAGTAATGGACGCCGACCATTCGGAATTTCATGTCTTATAGGTGGATTTGACTATGATGGTCAACCGCATCTTTTTCAAACTGAACCTTCTGGTATTTACTATGAATGGAAAGCCAATGCTACAGGCAGATCTGCAAAGACAGTCCGTGAATTCCTGGAAAAAAACTACACACAAGAAGAGGTTGCTAATGAAAAAGGGGCAGTAAAGGTGACATGATCTGATTGTTATATGCACAACCTGTATATATTTAGTGTAAATTGTATTGTTAATTATATATTTTCATTTAACAGCTTGCCATTCGCGCTCTTCTGGAAGTTGTGCAATCTGGGCAAAAGAATTTAGAAATTGCTGTGATGAGACGTGGACAACCAATGCATATGCTTGATTTGGATACCATCAATTCATATGTTTCTGTAATTGAAAAAGAAAAAGAGGAAGAAGCAGAAAAGAAAAAGCAGAAAAAGTAGTATTGTTACTTTTATTAAAGTTTTAAAATAAAGAACACTTTCTAATACCCTAAATTTTTGCTGTCTACATAAAAATAGCTTATACATTCAGTAAATCTATAGTTCTTGAAATTTGAGAGTACAGTTCTTTCAAATCTGTACCACAATCTTGGCTATTTACCTTGTTGGTAATTATGTCATTGAACATTTGATCCCACTCACCATTATAGTGCCCCAAATTGCCACTGTCTCTCTGAAAAAGTTAATTATTTAAGACAATATTTTAGAAAAACTAGACAAATTGTGTAGATAGAACACAATACCTCCATAGACACATCATCATTAGGATCATTGTTTATTGATGGCAGAACACAATTAAGTGAATTTTGGATATTTTCTTTATTTTGCTCTATTTCATCCATAATGCTTTGATCATGATCAATTTTAAATTCTGCCAGTAGCTCTGCACCAGTTTTATCTTGATGTGGCTCAGGATCAAGATCTGGCATACTAAGAAATGAGGCTGAAAAATTGTCACTGCTCTGCTCATTTGTGTCCTTAAAAGTAATGAGGCTCTCTTCTTGGTCTGTATCTCTAGTAAGATAAATTAATAGTTTTAAAAAGGGAACTAAAGACATCACAATAATCTTAAAATGTATATAATCTTACCCAGTGATTTTAGTATTATCTACACTGATCTTCGTATGCTTTGACATGCCTTTTAGATCTAAAAAGTTTGGAATAAATATAGGAAAATAGGATAGGAAGGAGAGGTAATATGTATATATATCTTTAGATGTACAAAACCTGGGTTTGGAATCTGTTCTGTAGGTTTACAACAGCTTTTAGTATTGAGCCAGTCCAAATCAATATTTTCTTCGCTTTCACATATTTCATCCTGTGGATCTAAAATAGATACAAAATTTGTGAAACTTCACTAGTATGTTCAGACTAATAAATTATTCCTATAGGCCTCTGTACATTCAGGGTTAAATCAAGGCCAAATAAGTATAGTAGTATATGTAAGCAATAGTGTTTGTAATTTTCTTTCAATTAAAAACTAGTTTTAAGTTGCCATGCAAGCTCGAAAAAAAAGCACCAGGTTAACAACATGCTGCCAACAATAAAAGCTGACAGTTTACGGATATTTTTCATTTCATATAGGTCACCAGAAAGCAGTTTTGGTTTATATTTTGCTTTAAAGTATCAACACATAGATGATTATACCTTCATTCTCAAGATTGAGATTGCAGAATTGTTTGGCTGAGTTAGGTATGATCAAATCCTGAGCAGCTTTTCTCAGAGCTTCTCGTAAATTTTTTCGTGCCTTCTGAAGTGGTGATAAATACAGCAATTGATCTTCATTATTACAAATGCTCTATGAACAATAAAATTATCATGACACTAAAACTTCATCAATTGAATACCAACTTCCTTTCTGTTTATCTGTTTAGCCTATAGAAGAAAAACAGCAGAATGCATTGACTGACCATGTTACCAATAACATTCAAGGTGAGGTATTGTTATGGTACCGATTCATTTACTGAAAAATGGTCAGGTATTTCTGTCATTGTAACAGCAGGCAAATTGTTAGGTAACCTTAACTCTACCTTAAAGTTTACATAAAACTGGAAATTACCTTTGGCTTATGACTTTTCCTCAAAGCCAGGGCTTTCCTAGTGATTTTATTGATATATTCAGGCCTTCCGTATTGAAAATACTCATGAACATATTCATGCATATAGGGATTGCAAGAGTTACAAAGAGGATCTTGTAAATGTGACGTAACTTTACGAAAACCATATAGATTTAACTGCCTCACAAAACTAGATATATTTGTGGTTTTGAAAATTGAATGACCACATTGTAAATAATTATACAAAATTCGATAATTCAGTAGAATAGTACGACCTGTATGTCCCCATAATATCGCGTCAGTATGCATATTTAATAAATACCACAGTTTTTGAGGAAATCGCATTTGAAAAATAGCATTTCTATCGTCTTGTTGCATTTTAAGAACAGAAAATTATTGAAAGAAATTTTTAAATATGGCGCTCGCGGCTCGGTGTTCCTTCGTTTCGGAGCACAGATTACAGAGATTATGCTTTTTTTTCCCATCTTGGGAAAGGCAAAGGCAGAGTCATGCAGCCATAGTCTTCATTTAAAGGATTTTTTTATGTTTCTTTTTTCTATAAGGCCGAAGCCACTTCTTCAATCATAAGATATTTGTCCTAAATAGTCTTTGTAATCCATTTTCAGTTTAGGTACTTATTGTTTCCCCCAAATTTTCAAATCCGATTTTGAATCTCCTTTTAATTCTTTCTTTCAATCTTGTTTGTTTTAAGTCATGAAATTTTTTAAGGTTCCATATCTATGGAAACTAAAAAAATATATAAATATTTGTATGATTTTGGATTCATAGCAATGTCTTGAATGTCGCGCGGGATTTCATTATTAGTTTTATATAATTTAATTAAATTGTCAGCTAAAACAAGTCTTTGTATATTATATGCTGTACATTCATAAAATATATGGATTAGTGTTTGATCTATATTTAAATTACAGTTTGTGCATAACGGAGATGTAATTATATTCATTCTATGTAAATGTGAATTAAAACGTCCATGTTCTATTCTCAAGCATGTGATGATCGTATAAAGAGATTATGCACTGTGACTGTGAGTGACAGTTCGGGGGGCGCCCCCTAGTGTTGATTCTGGCAAGATTTTCTAAACAAAACTAAATTTAACCGTAACACCCATATTCTTAATCGCGTCCTCAAACGTTCCTCGACTCAAACTCATTCGAGGGCTCCTTAAGGAGTTCCTCCAAATAACCTCGAAAATGGTATTCTAGTTGGTATCTTGAACAAACTTGAGAATTCCTCCACTGAGAATTCCTCAACATTGTGACGTCATCATTTGGAGGATTTTATTTCTATAATGGTTAACAGAGGAAATATTACTTGTATGACTGTATCTTTTCTAAACCGAAATCTTCTTTGAAACGAATCATTGTCGTAAACCTTAAAAGGATTTGCGGCATCACGTAAATACCGTCGCGCCGGATAATTATATGGTTAATCATCGTATATGTGTTACTGAATAAATAAATAAATAAATCGTATACTTAATCCATAAAATCCACAAATTCGTCAATAATCTCAAAATCAGACATAATTCTCGATAAAAGCAACTTGAAAACACCACTCGAGGAAGCCTTAAGGTACGTCGAGAGCTACCTTGAGTTTGACAGTTTATTCCTCGACTCGACCTCCACTCGAGTGAGGAATATCTCAAGTGAAGGATATTTTTGTTGTCTAACACCCATATTCTTAGTCGTTTCCTCGAGATTTTTTCCACTCGACTCAACCTCATTGGAGGAAATTCGTATGCTTAGACAACAAAAATATCCTTCACTTGAGATATTCCTCACTCAAGTGGAGGTCGTGTCGAGGAATAAACTGTCAAACTCAAGGTAGCTCTCGACGTACCTTAAGGCTTCCTCGAGTGGTGTTTAAGGTGTTTTCAAGTTGTTTTTATCGAGAATTATGTCTGATTTTGAGATTATTGACGAATTTGTGGATTTTATGGATTACGTATACGATTTATTTATTTATTTATTCAGTAACACATACACGATGATTAACCATATAATTATCCGGCGCGACGGTATTTACGTGATGCCGCAAATCCTTTTAAGGTTTACGACAATGATTCGTTTCAAAGAAGATTTCGGTTTAGAAAAGATACAGTCATACAAATAATATTTCCTCTGTTAACCATTATAGAAATAAAATCCTCCAAATGATGACGTCACAATGTTGAGGAATTCTCAGTGGAGGAATTCTTAAGTTTGTTCAAGATACCAACTAGAATACCATTTTCGAGGTTATTTGGAGGAACTCCTTAAGGAGCCCTCGAATGAGTTTGAGTCGAGGAACGTTTGAGGACGCGATTAAGAATATGGGTGTAAGCATACGAATTTCCTCCAATGAGGTTGAGTCGAGTGGAAAAAATCTCGAGGAAACGACTAAGAATATGGGTGTAATAAGACTTGGAAGTATGGTCTACGCTTATCCCAATGGACGAAATTATACTAGTACTACTAAATTTAACATCAGTCTCTCCTTTTCATTCTGTATAGAGAATATCCGATCCTAGGCAGTGTTGCCAGAGCCTGCACGGCAAAAGTTGTCAATGTTGGCTTGAAATGTTGTCATTACAAAAAAAATTAACAAATATACAAATCGTGATTATTTTATAATAAAAAAATACCGTGTAATGTTAAAGTGAAAAGAAACATTGTTTATCCGATCCCATGCATTATTTTTTTACAGATCTGGGCCCCTGGTGCATTTGTGTGAGTGTAAATAGTGTACAACAAACGAAATTGTAGGAATTTGCATGCTTCAAATCGTTTTAGTTTGATGTTACGTCCGTCTTTTTTTCAGGTCCGTGATGGCTGCCATCACGGACCTGAAACTCTCTATAAAATGCTAATGACACGGTTTTTTTGGCGGGATTTCACCGAGTGTGGTTGCTTCTTCTTCTATTGCAGTTGCTTCGACCCTAATCTTCCTTTTTTGTACATTAGAATGTGGGTGTGACCCATTCTAATATTTCTTGCAGTGTTTGGCACAAAATGTATCGAGTCACCTTTCTCGACAAGCTTCTATGAAGTTGTCTACACTACAATAAAGTTCTCATATGCACTTGACCTATATAGCGAATATTTTAAAGATTCCGTTAATTCTTCAGTTGCGCAGATGATTGTCACACAAATCACATCAATTTTATTTCACAATATCAACTATGAATGGATTTAAAGAATAATATAATATGACGCCAACCGCACTCGATGACAACAAAAATTTACATGAAATTTAGAATTAAACGCGCGGTTTTTTAATTTTAATATGTAAAAAGCCCTTTTGGTTTCATTACTACTGCTCAAATAGGCAAATCAAGTGTGGAAAGAGGATTTTCTATGGAGACCGCTCAATCTGATGCTTTAAAGCGTAAAGTTGCTAATGTAGATGATGATGACACTGTGCCTCAAGCCAAGCGACCAGTGAATTTGTGACACCTAGAAAAGGTTTGTTCAAGAGCTTTAGCATGCTATACAGAGATGAACATACCAATAGTAGGCTAGTTGACTCATGTCGAATTGTATTAAATAAATGTTTATTTCTTAAAGTATTTGGTCTAAGGAACCTAAATATATCGATTTCACTTCATAAAAGCAGAAGATTGCTGTAGAAATTTAATTTAAAAAAATATTTTTAGTCTATACTTTTTAAACACTAAAAGCGCTGTTCGCCACATCCGCCATGATTGTGACGTCTCTTTTAGTAAACAACTAAATGTCATTCATACATAACTTTATAACTTGTATTATTAAAACTGATAATAAATGAAGAGACTTATAATATTATTCAATGAGTACTTACATCAAAGTGATCTTCGCAAAAATAAATTTCACTATGATTCGATAAAGTTGCAGGATCACTTTTAGCAAGTTCTAACCAGGTATTGCGTAGGTTAATTTCTATCAGCACTCCACAACTTTCTTGGAGTCTTCAATGATGTGTTTTTCGTACAATACAATAATGATAATTACTATATTTTTCGTGGTATCTATTAGAAATCATGTTTTTTTTTTTATTATAAACTCAGATACGTTATTTTCTACGTGCTTACGAGTTTTTGTTTACTACCGTCGCGTCGACGTCATAGCATAGATAATCTATAGACTAAAATGGCCGACAGCGTTTTTGTATGTCCATGAAAAGTCTATTTTAAAATTAAAGATTGTGGATATAGCTTTCTAGGTCTCAAAAAAATACAATACATTTTTTTCGGTCTAATAGAATATTTAATAACCATTTAAAACCTTTTTCCAAAAAGTGTCAACCAGGGGCTTTTCACTTCGAACTACAATTATTTGTATGGACATCACAGAACGAATTTTAGATATGTAATATTTCACTAGATGGCGTTATTCAGATCTTTTTTACGTATTATTAGGTATTCCTCCCAATTTCATATATTTTTAAACAGTAACACAAAATTATACCTGTGGCTGTCAGTGACTGTAACAAAAATCAAGAAAGAAGAAATACAGCTTATCAGCATATATTATTTACAACAGATTTTGTTTTGAAATAATAAACTAAAGAATTGGCTGTATGGGCATAGTACCCTTTGCCTACCCAGAATGGGTAAAGAATCTAAAAAAAAACAATTGTAACAAAAAAAAACTGTTCTGTTTACGCTTCGTGAATTTAATGTTTTCTTGTGATTTTTGGTGGTTTTTCCGACGATTTCAGCTATTTTTCCGGACTCCGATTCTCCTGTTTTTACGTTTTGACCCTTGCTCTTCATATCAGTTATTGATTGGCTTCACTATTTGGATTTCGTTGTTCTCGAAAATGGTATCTCAGAGAAGATGTTGTGTGCCTAATTGCAACGTAACACGTACGTATTACCAATCAGTTACATATAATTGAACCTCTATAAACAATCCTTTCTTGATTTAACTATTTGACCAAATGTTTCAGGCGCAGATTAAATACCAATGCATTCGTTTCCTAACCCTGATCGATTCCGAACTTGGCTTCCGCTCTCGTAGGAGAGATATTAGCTATGGACAATAATTATCTTTTCAAGCTAGGAATAGTTTGTCAAAAACATTTTGAGACCAAGTTCTCCACATGCTGTCCCAACTTTACATTTGCCAGGTAAATTGCTGATTTCAGTCTTTTAAAACATCGAGTAAAGAGTGTATGTAATGGTCTCTTAATAAAATCATTGAGTTGAATGTGATTTTTATATAAATTGCTAAATATTTTTTTTATAATCACTATTTGGTGCACCAAGGAGTGTTGCAACGGATGACACCAACAGAATAAATATTGACCAAGAAATTGAACATTCTCAGCTTTCAATGCCTTCTACATCAACTAGTAAATATTTATTTATTTATTTACAAATCATTTTTTATATCACTGATATTCTGGTAGAGTGGAATGTGCACTGGTTGTCAATACCTACTGTAAAGTTCTGGGTTCGAATCCTGGTAGGGGCAAAATTCTTTTTGAATGTTTGAATGGAAGCATCAAATTTCAGATATACAAATTAGTAAAACCATTCCCTTATTCTCTTTTGTTTTAATATAATTTTTTTTGCAGGTGGTGTTTTGACTGAAAAGTTAGAATTACAACAAAACACTGTAAAGAAATCGAAGATACTAAGTAAATATAAGCTTACCGGTAATTTTAATTTTTATATAAGTATTTTTGTCTATTATAATTATTTGATAACTTTATTAACTTAACTTTAAAAAAAAAATCAGAAATATGTTATCTATATTTTAGAGAGCACCTATCCTAATCATCTTTATTCTTTTGTTAGCTTTCTTCTTAAACTTACCTCTATGGGCTTTAGTCATGTTTTAGTTAATAAGTAGACATTACAATAATGAAATGAACCTTCCACTTAGTTTTCTTATACTAATAATAATTATTTAAAAAAAATTAAGACTATTCACCTCACAATGAAACTAAAATTATTGAAATGCTTTTTTTCAGCATCTGCAATGGATGAAAGTGTAACTAACTTAAAAAAAGTGGTGAAGAAGATAACTGAAAAGAATCTCAAATACACAACACGGCTAAAGAAAGCAATGAAACTTTTATGATAGATCCGACTTGTAGATTTTTTATATATAACTGGTGTGGTGAGGTAAATCAATTATTAAACGGCACCATAAAGCTGCGTAATTGTACAAATTTTAAAGATGATATTAAAAGAATGTCATGCAAATATTTAATAATATAAATAAAAATAATTGATTTATAATACTTTTTTATTTATTCTAACAGACTGTGTTAAAGCTACATTTTTAAACAATTATCAAAAAAACTGCGTAAACGAATAGTAGGTAAATTATCTAATAATGTAGCTTTAACACAGTATGTTTTTTTCCTTTTTTCATATTAATAATCGCATCTAAAGCTGCCGGTACCGGTTCTGTAGTACATGACTTGTGATTATGTCATGAATCGCTAGATGGCGCTGTATGCTCAGGTTAACTGATATCTCTATTACTAGTATATAATGTACTCTATGGTGTCAACTAGCCTATTACTCATTACTTGTCAGCAAGACAGACAAATCTCCATTTGATTTGCTGCAAGTTAACAGTGATGTCGATTTTGGCATGATTCTCTAAAGGTGAACGCAGACTTGGCCGCACCGCAGTCTCCGCAGTCATCGCCTTTTGTTAATGACCTCGCACATCTAACCACACCGCAGTCGTTCCCGTCGCCGCACACATCGCAATTGATTTCTTTTATTCAGTTGATGAGAATGACGTCATCCGCGCTGTGCTAGCCGCAGCGTGCGCTGCGTGCGGGCCGGCGTTGGTGACGTCATCAGCTGCGGCTTGGGGAGTTCGGTCGTTTCAGGGACTGCGGCGACTGCGCAGGGGTGGGTGTGCGAGGTTGCATAGAACTTCATATAAAGAATTGGAATGCGAAGACTGCGGCGGTGCTTGAAAAAATCACTAACAGACGGATAGTTGTGACCTCAGTAATAATAATTCATCAATTTCATCCAAATCAATTAAAGATCTCCTCATAAATAACTGTGCTTTATAATATGGATAGTAGATTTCTTAACGAGCAGATTAACATAATGCACTAGAACTCCTGTAGTATTTAACCTAAATTGGACCAACTTAAGCATTATCTTAGTAACTCTAGTAATCTTATAGATATAATTCTTCTAAATGAGACTTGGTTAATAGTCTGGGGCCATGCCTTGTTAACACAGATTATTATGAGATGCATTTGAATCAATCAAACTTGTTCTCTTATTAGTCTGTGCTCACATGTTAATCTGTGCTGTGAGTATGTTTGCTTTTGTTTATTTACAGTTTGTTTTTTTGTTGTCAATTTAAATTAATTTCTAGACAGACCTTATTTTTGTTGGAATAAAGTATCAATATCACAGAACACAATTAACTCCATAAGAAACAAAACATTTATTTACAATGCTTTGAGATTGTTTAATTCCAACTGTCCGATTATGCTTTCCAACTGAAAAATCTGTCGGAAATTCGGAATGGAAAGACGTAAAGCTAGCCCAGAGCAACTAAATATGCTCCTACAATTTTTAGAAGCGGACAAAGAGCTTGCTATTGGAAAGTTTACAGGATTAGAAGGAAGAATTCGACAAACGAATGCATGGATTACAATTACAGAAAAACTTAATGCCAACTCTGGATTTGGCTCGGGAGCTATCAAAACTCCTGATAAATGGCAACAGGTATAACTTACAAACTTTGTAACAATCTTCCTATAAACTTCAATTCGAAAGAAGTGTTTGAAAAATTATTTTTGTAGACATGGAGAGATTGGAAGTCCAATGTGAGAAAGAAAGCATTTAAAATACGTAAGAATCGATTTACACCTGGTTGTAGTAGTAATGTACAATTAACAGAAGCGGAAGAGAAAATTCTAAGGCTCATATGCTCTAACACAAGTGTATTTGGTTTAGTTGATGTCCCTGAAACATCAATAATCCATAATGATAATCTGGTAAGTTTATATAGAAAACACATTTGAATGACATCAGTAAATATCTTAGAGTGTGAGCTGCTTTAAGCTGGTCACAGAGCAGTTGTCTGCTCCACATGGAGTTTTTATGTCATTTCATAGAGTAAGAGCAGAATACTCACCTCTTGCAGCCCTGATCTATGAAATAAACATGCCGAGCAGACACTCGTTCCGTGACCGTCCTAATGCAGCTCATGTCCTTTGGGATGACTTAGAATATGGCTACTGGTGAAAAGGTTTATAAAATATATCATTCCAAATGATATGAGGGTTTGGACTCCTCTCTCAAATGACATCACTCAGTGTTAAAAAAAAATACATTCATTAATATTATTAATTTGTTTCTTGTTATGACTTGTACCTACTGTGTGTTCTTAGGAAAAAGATGTGAAATAATTATTATTGGTATCTTGACTACAGTAGTGTAGTTGCCACTGGCAATCTGTATAATGTAGGTATTCTATGCAATACCCAGGCAATGTATGAAATATTATTATTTTCCATTTGATACTTAGCTTAGGTAATCAACTATATTAAAAACCACCAATAGATACACCACGAGCGCTTGAAATGTGTCCCAATCAAGAAGTGCTTGAACATCACTCAAGCACTTCTTGGTTCATAGTCACGTGAAGACTGTTGATATGTCAACAAGCTGCAGAGCTCCGTGAGAAAATGCGAAAAAATTACTAGCTTTTAGCTGTAATGCATATAAAACTTTTCACATCACTGACACATGTTAATCTTGAGAAACATGTGGATATATCACACTTTAAGATTAAATTACGAGAAAACAGTGTTTTCTACAAAATTGGGATTGAAACGGCCACACCGTCATAATTTTTCGCTGAGAGCGTCCTTTTGTAAATTGAAATGAATTTGAAGTTTGAACCCTTTTTGCACGATGTTACAGAAAATCTAGGCATTTTTGCGGAGCCATTGTTATATCGAAATCGATTAATGTTATGAGTTCAAGTCGATTCAAAAGTAGTTTTTTTAAACAGTAGAACAATGTTCTTGTACATTTTGACAGAGGGAAATGCCTGTAAGGGCGTCTCCCGTTATAGATACTCAAAGATGCTACAAGAGCAGGAAGAGAAATAACAGCAAAAAAATGGACTTCTGTTGTGGCGGCTTCACTTCATATAGGACATCTTCTAAATTGGAAAACTCGGATTCGTCGCTGAATCAGGTTAAGGATTTGTCCCTAAAATCTACACATACTGTATATATTAAATATTCTAAAGTTATCCCCATCCTAGATAGCGCACCTTATTTTTTTGTGAATTTACAAGTACTTATGTTTATTCTACTTCAGATGCCATCTCAAAGCAGCCAGGGTCTTAATGATGAACTAAGTAATAACGACCCAACCACAAGTGGGATGGTAGGTCTGACATTAACTAAATATCATCTTTATTTCATAAATGATGTAAAAAAAATGCTGTAGTAAATAGTATTTCAATATTTTTTTTAGAAGTGGTCAACTGATCCTCCTCAATATGGACAAAATGAAATTCAAATGAGTCTTGATAACAGACCTAGAGCAGATACAGAAACTGTAATTGGTTCAAGTGAGGTATCATCTGAAATTACAACAGGGAAGCCTCTTTGGAGAAGAGGACGTCCTGTCAGTGAGTATTATATTTTTAATGAACTATTTGATATAATCAATAATGTTTTCATTAATTATATTAATAAGAGGACAATTTTTACTTATAGTTTTCCTAGGTACATTTCATTAATTTATTTCATTGTAGAACTTGTACACGAAAGACTTCTTAACCTAGAAGAAGAGAGAATAAGAATAAAGAAACAAAAACTTCTCGAAAAAAAAAGGTGCAATAATGTAAGACTCAAGATTGAAAAAGACAGACTTGAAATTGAAAGACAAAGGAATCATTTATTAGAAAAGTAAGTTTGCTTAAATCTGGCTCATGATGTTTTACAAATACCTATATGTTGCCCTGCCTAGCCTGTTACTCAAAATCATGATAGTCATTATATAGTAAAATCACTCTATCTTATATAACCATTGGCGTAGCTTTGGATTTACCTTAGGGAGGGCAGCTGTCCAGTTGTATTAACATTCAGTCTGCAAAACATGAAGGGTGTCCGCTGCCTTTAGCGCCCGCGACGGACCCCCGTTTCTCACAGCGCCGCCAGTACAATTTCGATCGCGCGGGTGAACAAATCCCACCAACGAACCACGTAGCCTGACGTACTTGCTGGTTATGCAGGTCGAAGCAGCGGGAGATACGCGCGTACTTTCGTGAGTCCCACCGAATTATTCTATATCTGTCTCCTTTGTCCCTCTCGCTTTTCTGGGGCGGACGTACATGAAATGCCTTTGTCGCCTTCCCAGCCGTCCCGTGCACGCTATGAAGTGGTACCGTTGGCACGGTAATAATATCATACAGTATTCTATCTTCATACAAACGGTCGGAAAGCGAGTCATACCTACGCCACTCGAGTTCGATGTGCTCTCGGCGTGCACCCAGTCGCGAATGCGCCGGCGCGCCGCAACGACGACCGAACGGTCAGAATTGTTTTTTATGCAGTTAGTAGGCTTGTTGAAAATATATCGATGTATCGATATATCGATATTTTTTGTTCGATATATCGATATTTTTTGCCGATATATTTTGATTCGATATATCGATACATCGATACAAAATAACCAATATCGAAATTCGTATTAAAAACGATATTTTTTTAATTATTAGCGGCATATCACGATCTAACTAAATTCGTATCTGGAAAAAGCATAACTGGATCTCAGATTAATGATATTCAACATATTTATGATCTGTGCTGTATTTAGTATATTCTATGGGTACGGCCAGAGTGCACTCCTGATTCAGATTCAGATTCAGACTCAGAAAACAAAGCGCGAGAAAAAGCAGGCAACCTGCTTAGACTACACTGTTTATTTCTCGCGCTTGTTTTCGGAATCTGAATCTGAATCTGAGTGCACTCTGGCCGTACCCTATTATTTATAAGTCTGTTTCGCTGGTGAATTGTGTGCTGATTTCCATTATATTCTGTGGAAGTGTGTGACTGTCTAGTCTTGTTGACGAAAGATGGCACCTGAAAGGCCCTGCAATCATTTTCTGTGTCTATTTTTAGGGAGATAATTTTCGTTCCATTATTATTCCGTGTGTCATATTTCGTGAGATACTGTACTGTCATGTAGTGTAGCGGCAATTTGGTACTTTGATAATTCTTTCTTTAATTATAATTTGTATTGAATTATTATTACTGTGCTAGGCTGACCTAAATATATGTTTGGGAAAATTGGTCCGATATATCGATATATCGATGTTTTTTTCGCGATATATCGAAGCCGATATTGATATTTTTGAAAATATCTATGTATCGATATATCGATATTATTTTCAACTTTCGACATCCCTAGCAGTTAGCCGTGCTTAAACATGCGTTTTGTATTGTAAATATTTGATTTAATTAAGTAGATACCTACATAATTTAGTATGGAAAAGAACAAACGACGATCAATATCGTACAACAGCACAATTGCTGTTTTTGGTGGCTTGAACTCTTCAATAACACACCCCGAGATATAATTTTTTAAATTACCTGAAATATTGGAAAGGTGTCTTACCTTTATAGAATATTTTTTATATACCTATCTACTAGTACGTTATTTGTTTCTAATATTTAGGTATTTCGCTTTTTCCATCGGGCAAAATATCTGGAATAATATATAAATAAGTGGTTAGGATGAAAAAAGAGACAAACGAGTAATCTACCTACACTCGCGTTAAAAACAAAACTACATAAAATACTGTAGGCTGGCGGCCCTACCGCGTGCCAACCTAGCGTTCGGTGTAGGCATTTATTTTCAAGGACAGGGCGGAGTCACAATACTGTATAGATAATATTACCGTGCCGTTGGCCTCTATCTGCTAGTCCTTTTCGTTTGCTCCCTGTCTTCGTTCTTCGCCTCCTTCGACTTCACTCCGAATCCTGCGCCATCCGTGCGTGCTGTCCCAGCTGCCTGAAGTTCGCCTCCGATCCCACCAGTTCGCGGTAGGCGGTCGGCCCAACCTCTAGCACCTTCACGCTGTGAAAAAGTTTCCAACGCATCTTACCGTAGAGCTAACATTCCCACAGAACATGGTATGCGTCCTCTTCCTCTCCCTCCCCACAGTAGCACGACCCCACCTCTGCGAGCCTCATTCTGTAAAGCCTACCCCTAAAACAGCCGTGTCGCGTCAATAGTTGTGAGGTTTCAAAGTCGGGCTTGACCCACGTGAACTTGAGTCGGGCCTTCACTTCCAGGAAAAACCGATATGGTTCTCCCTTATTCTGACGTGTCCGAAGTCCCAACGTCTTTGCCATTCATCCATTTAGTATTGAGGGACACAGTGATTTTGAGTTTCCGCTCCTCTTCAATGGTAACCCTTGCCTCGCGTGTCTTACCTAGTCTGCCGGCTCGAGTTACTTCGAGGTCGGCCAGTAGAACGACGGCTAAGACCAGCAGAGCGACTGAGCTCGTCGACCAGTGCACCTCGGTCAGAAAGATCAAGGGGGGTCTCTGGTTTCTATGGAAACTAAGCAGCGCCCCTACCGGACGTAAGAACAAAACTAGCTCCTTCCATAGAAACACATTGGTGTCGATTCTCTAAATCTAAACTTAAATTTGACAATAGTGTATCCCTGTTATTTTCTTTACAAAATGAAAAGGAGAACATCAGACACGCCAGGATCGACACCATTGAGCTAAACGCGTCCACAAGCAGCGGTAGTTTTTTCATACATTTTGTATAGTATCGGCGCAAACTAAGCGATCGAGTGGTCGTGATTAGTAGCGCAATGTGCGCTTGCTCTCACGATTTAGACACGAATACTTTCTTTCTCGCTAGTTGATCGCGCTTAGTAAAACGTTTGTATTCTAACTAGGTAAACCCCCCTAGCATGAGCACCGCGATATGATATATAATGCGTTTTTATCACGCATATCTGTCAAATTACTATGATATGAAGGTTGACAGTTGGACGCGATAAAAATCGTGATATAATGTAAATTGTAGTGCTCGTGCTACTGGGGAAATATTATTTTTCAATTTTGTTATTACACAAAAAAACTCGGTCGTCTTACGAAAAATTATACGCCATTGTAAAAGTTTATATGGGATCTAAGCACTGCAGCGACTATATCAGGCATAAAAATAACTACCTACATCCGAAAACGTTCGTGTTTTCGAATTTAAATGCAAACAAAACATACTGATTTCAACATTGTCTACTCTCAATGCAGATATTTTTTTTACAAGGTACGGTTAGGGTCCCATACTAAGTGAGCCATTTTTTACACACCCACCCAGTTTTAGCTACCTAGCAGCTAGTAGCGATGTGATAGACGGTGCAAAAATCGTAAATCATGCAGCATATATATATTTTGTTTGTTTTCACGTACCAATCGTTTCGTTAAATACTTTTTGAACGGGTAGAAAGTTTTGATTATTCTCGACGTTTAAAATGATTTTATTTTCAGATTACTTGTTGCTGTTGAAGCTGTGGTAAAGCGATAGCAAATCTGTGGTTGGTAAATGACTGTAGACTATTATTACCTACTTGCTACATGTTACTAAGTACTTGCCTTTCCAATTTCTTTTATATTATGCAGCTATGGCAATTTGATTTATGGGCATCATTTTCAGTGTCCTTATTAGTTTAGGTGGTCTAAGTAACTACTTAGTAATAAAGTAATATCAATTATGTATATTAATACATATTGTATAATTGTGATACTTATTGAGATATCGTTTTTTTAAGAATAGAGATTTTTTTGTATCCGTTTATTATTTAACTATTAATCAATATATTCATCGATATATTCGAGAGTTGTGGACCAGTTTTCAAAATTATTTTTTAAAGAAAATAGCACTAGAAAAAATTCCAAAATTTTCTTTAGATTTAAACATCAAGCAGTTACATGCTTTAAAAAAAATATAATTATTTTTTTGTTTGAAAGACCCATACCTCTTGATGGTCCCATATTTACCAAGTCAGGATCTGATAATGGATAAGTCAAGGGAATTCAATAATATCGAACTGTTTTTGAATTTCGGTAATTTTACACTAGCTTGTCCATGTACTTACATTTTTTAAAGATATTTAAAGGTAATTTTAGGGAAGACAATAAAGCGCATTATTTTTCATACGAGTTATTTTGTTATTTTTTCACTATCATTATCAGCTGTACAACGCCGACTGCTGAGCATAGCCCTCCCCAAATCTCCAGAGCGGTTTAGTCCTGCGCTATTCGCATCCAGCGGTTTCCTGTGGAGGGCCTACTCTCTTAATTAATATCGATATTGTACTCAAACTTGTAGCCATCTCATTTTAACTTACCTTAAATACTCCACACGAAAAGAGACATTATATTTAAAATAGACCAAAATCCGACTTTAAGTATATTACTAAACATGATGCGTTTGATAAGGTATATATCTTTAATTATTACATACTATAACTTGATACCTATCTATGCCTAAAATCATAGTTTGACTATAAACTAATTACTAAAGTGAATATTAAATTTTTTAGCTGGCCCGAAGTACTTAAACAGCTTTAGTTATAAATTATAATTGAAAGTTTATACTATAAAATCTGCGCGTGTCTTAATCCAATTACTTTTAATAAGGAAAGATGAAAAAGAATAAGGAAAACCCATAGATAAATGATTGGTCTCGCTTCAGTCGAGTGAAGAGAGACCAATCATTCATCTATGTGTAATGTAAACCCATACATTTTATTTTAATTTTAGTAATAATATTGAATCAGATGGTTCAGTCTCGATAAAAAGTCCTTTGAATAAAAAGTTAATAGTTATGTATTGTTTTGGACCCATTAAGTGTTTTTAACAAAAAAAAAACAATACAAAAAATCCAACACTGATTAGTAAATCATTAATTATTTTATACGGGGTGGCAAAAGGTGACGTCCGATTTCTTGGCCTGCACCTTTTTCATCGACCTTTTTCTCTAGGGATGTTATAAAGAGATGAATATGTGTGACTGTTAGCATGCCTAAATAAATAAAATGGTTTACGCACGCGAAACAAACACGGTGGCAGAGCTGCGTGAAAAATTAAGGCAAGCCGCAGCAAAAATTACACAAAATACTTGTAATTTGAGGAGATTCAGATTATTTACCGACGTTGTAGATGAAACTGCAGCAGCGGATTTTTTTAAATACGCTATTCCAGTCAAGTGGACATGAGAACTTTGTTGAAGAGTTGACTACCTTGTAAAAGCTTATTGAAAAAGCTAACTCAATACATTTCGTGCCAATAACCAAGAATTATTAGCATGCGTCATACCTACATTCTAATGTAAACAAAAAAACGGCTGTATGGCTGTACAGCCCTTTGCCTTCTCTGAAAAGGCAGAATATTAAAAAAAAACAAACGTCAAAAACGGCGTGTAGCCTAGCGATGCGCCGAGTCGGTTATTTTTGGTATTCGAGTATTTTAGTAATCGTTAAAAAAAGATTCGAATTAGGACTCGAGTCAGAAGACTCGGACAACTATTCGAGTACTAACACGAGTATTCGAATACTTTACTGGTCTCGAGTATTTTTTGAATCGGACCATGAAATTTGCTTCATTATCATCATTAAAAATCGTATTATATGAGTGATAGGAAAATATGTTAATAATAATAGATTTAATGTATAATCAGTCATTTATTAATATTATAATCATCATATTAATAAGCTCCATGACGATGCTATTGAGTCTAATGACTCCAAGTCCAAATCAGAACTCTCATCCATGCTTTCGTTTTCAGTTTGCTTACTTTTTGATGTGTGACATCTTTCCTCTCGTTTTCCTGCAATTTGTGGGAGTGATTTCGTGTAATGGAACGGAAGTGTGTGAAGTGTGAAGAACAGGAAGTTGCAAAAGCGCGCGCTATTTGATTTGATTTTAGAACATAACGTTCAGTGGCTTATTCCTTTTGTAGTAGGTTTTTTTCTTTTTTTACTAATACAAGGTTACACATCATACGCGACTAGGGGCCATCCATAAATTACGTCACACTTTAAGGGGTAGGGAGGGGGTCGACGAAATGTGACATCGTGTGACAAGGGGTGGGAGGGGTCCTAAATTTCGTGACGTCACATTTCAAAATATATTAAAATCTAAGTGTTGAAACTATTACTTTACGAAAGCATTAACAACCCAAACGAGAACAAAGTGGTGCTATGCCAGTTATAAATAATTTAAAGGAGTGGGATCAATGTCCATGGACTCAAGATTATTAAGTTTGTATCTTTAATTTAATTATAATGCTATTAATATTTTATGTTTTGTTAATTTCTTTAATTAACATAGTCAATCACTATTTGTTCGGTTATAATAATGAAAAAACAATTTAAATGGAAATAAAACTGATTACAGAACCGCTGTTTTCATTCAATGATTTCTAAATGTAAATTTGCAAAATATGTGACGTCACACTAGGGAGGGAGGGAGTCTTACAAATGTGACCAGCTGTGACAAGGACGGGGGGAGGGGCAAAAAAGACATGAAATTCGTGTGACGTAATTTATGGATGACCCCCTACTGTAAGGCTCGCTCGTCTTTTTTTTCTATTATCACTGTATAAATCAAGGGATGTATTTTTTCAAACGATTTTATAAATTTGGGGTGTTTCCAAAATTAACAAATGTTTTTTTACACTCTCTGCACTCCACTTTTTTATTTGGTAAAATATTATAAAAATTCCATACTTCGGATTTTTATTCGAAGCCATCCTATTACAAAGTCACTAGTTAAAAACAGTAAAACTTTACACAAATTCTACAGTTAAACTGGTAACCGAGAGTTCGACTAATTAAAATACATAATTACTTATAAGAAACAAATATGTAATTAAACTAATGTTAAAATCTCATTTAACTGATCGGCCGAGTAGGAAACATAAACACGTTCAAATCACGTTACTAACTTTACTGTACTAATACAACGGCTGAGTATTCGAATACTTTATTTCGAGTACTCGAGTACGTGAGTACCTGCTAGGTATTTCAGTCAGCCTGACTCGGCACATCTCTAGCTGTAGCTTTTTAGTATGTGGGCCAATATGGGAATCTCCAAGGCCGTAAAACTTATATATATAAAAAAAAACTTTTTTTGGCGGGATTTCATCGAGTGCGGTTGGCGTCTTATTTTAATTATTCTTAAATTCGTTCATAGTGGATATTGTGAAATAAAATTGGTGTGGTTTTGTGTAACAACTGTTTGCGTAACTGAAGAATTAGTGGAATCATTAAAATATACGCTATTCCGGTCAAGTGGACGTGAGAATTTTATTGTAGTGTTGACTACCTCACAGAAGCTTATCGAAAAAGCCAACTCGATACATTTCGTGCCAAACACTCCAAGAAACATTAGAATGCGTCACACCATCATTCTAATGTATAAACAAAAAGAAGATAAATTTAATTCAAGACCAGGCTGTATGGGCATTGTTCCCTTTGCCTTCCCTAGAACGGGAGAACTTCAAAAAAAAAAAAAAAAAAAATTATAGCATGTGTTGTGTGTGTCGACGCCGTGCCCTCCATATTTTCTTTTCATAAAAAATGGATTCGAAACCATATCCTGATTTGACTTGTGTGTTGTTTCCAGGAATAGTTAAAAACACCGACAAAGCTATACAATGTTTAGGAGGCATTAGAAATATTTCACAGGTAATTTTGAGTTATTAACGAATATGTACTTAATATCCTTTTGTGAGCATGTGAGTCGTCTGGAATTAAATACTTATATTGAATTTTATTTAAAAAAAACATATCAAGTGTCTTTTTTTCCACCTAAGGTATACTCTGAGTCGGTAAAAAAGCTGGGACTTAGCTACAGACCTGAAGATCCTTATCTAAAGAAAATGTATGCTGATTGTCGAAAAACAGCTGGTCTATTAGTAAAAGTAAGAGTTAAAAAACATAAAATAGACAACGAGTTAAAAAAGGAAGTTATATCAACAGAAGTGGTTGGTCAAGTTAAGGGAATTTATAGATTTGAATGTAAGTTACTACTTTTTACAAATATTTTACATATTTATGCACCACAAGCAACTTAGAGGGTGCAAAGTAGTACCCATATTTTTTAAAATGTAGTTTGAGTCGTCTACTTAATTTTAATGCATAGAAATTGATTAAAAAGCATTGCAAACATTTCAACTAAAATAGACAAAATCCATTTAGACCTTTGTACTAAAATAATTTTGTTGTCAAGTTCTTAATGATTAATTTAAAAGTATGTTTGACAAAAGTGGTGGGTATTGAAGCAATTTAGCTCATCAATTTGGACTGTAGTTAGGCTTTTATGATTGCAACAAAATTATGTTATTAATTTGTATCATGGTTTTAGCTATATGTGATTTTCAATATTTACCTATACAAAATGATTCAAGAGGCGTTAACAATTGCATTTTGGACCAGATCTTCCCTTCAGGGTTGGATGCTTTTGAGTTCATGAAGTGAGTAAATAGTTTAATTTTATAGTAGTTGCCTAGGCATCACAACAGCCAACTTATCACAGTCTTTTCTTAAATTTTTCATAAAATAGATATTTACAGAGAACAAAGAAATATGAAAAGAATTTCTTTCTAGTTAATTGCAGTAATGTTTTCCATGGATTTATAAAGTTATCAGTTTAATGCTTAAACTAACAATTTAATAAAATATTCTCATTTAAAAATTACATGCTCTCAGTTGATTTGTTAGAAGTTATTTATTATTGATATAATTAATAATTTATGTATTTTGATTAAGTATAATTTACTTCTAACTGACATTAATTACAAGGAGTAGGTATGTGTATCAGCGTTGCCAGATTTTTTTTTGTGCCAAGTCAGGATTTAGGAACTTTTTGAGTGAAAAAAAAGGGAACCTTTCGTCGAAAGCAGGACAAAGTAAAAAAAATTACATAAAGTTATTGAATATTTATCTTTTTGTTTTAAGTTCAAATTACGTTTACGTGACAATAGATAGGTACCTAGTAAAAATATCCATAGAAAATGTATTTTAATAAAAATATTAATTTTTATATCAGGTTTACCCTATCGTTATATAGTTGTCTCTGTTTGAGAGTTCTTCATTACACTCTGTGCAGACGGCCAGTCCACATTTGTAAGTGCCACCCGCCCGCGCTTTCTCAGTACGCTGCAGGCACAATAGAGTTATTCCCGAAAATATTGGGACATCTGGCAACGCTGATGTGTATGTATAACTGGATAAAATGTTCATTATAGAAAGTTGATTTTAAATGTTAGTAATAATTATTGTATATATAAACAAAGTAATATTTTTACAGTGAACCAGGACCAATATACATAGTTCCAAGTAGCTTTAGTAGAACAGAAAAACCATATAACTATGCCTATACTAACAAGAAGAATTCTGAAAAAATTTATTATACAGATAAGGACCTTATAGCTCATCGTAGATCAAGATCAGTTCCTTTAGTACGATATAAATTCAGTTTAACAAATGAGTTGCCTTCTGAGCCAAATGAACATGCTTTGAAACGATTCAAACAAAGACTTAAAATACAACCGCAAATGGCGCAGGAGTTCGAATTTATCAAAAAGGTAGAAATACGAATTTTATTAAATTTATTTATACTAACTAATATTTTATCAAAAAAAAACCATTATTTGTTTGTATAATTAATCATGAGATATATGCACAAAAATTACATGCTTCGCTTATTAATGTTACAGATGTTACAAGAGAGGCCAATATTGTCATATAACATGATTCGGTATCAATCAAAATACCGATTGGCAGTACTAAAAATAATTTTACCAACTGTAGCTGTGCATATGCATGAAGGCCCATGGAAGAAGTCCTGGGTGAGATTTGGATATGATCCTAGAAAGATTCCTGAATCAAGAATATATCAAACTTTAGATTTCAGAGTAAGACATACTGGTAAGTTATATATTTTGCTATTTAATTTATAGCACAAAGATTAATATATTTCTTGCAATTTAAAGCAAAATATGGTTTCAGCTGGAATGAATGTGATGGTGATGAAAAGAAAACACTTGGCACAATATAAAAAAGCAGAATCTGAACGACGTGGTGAAAAAATGGATATTGGTGATGATGATATGGTTACATCTGAAGAAGTAGTGGAAGCAGCGGTCTACTTCCGACCAGGAATAGTGCCAGCCCAACGTCAGATGTATTATCAGGTTATTTTCCAAAATAATACTACAGATATTTTTCTCAAACATGCTTGGAAATTTGAGCATTATTTTGACAATCTTCTTCTAGATAAAATCAAAATTGCTGTATTGGCCACATACATGGGAGCAGCAGCTGGCAAAAGTTGTATGAAAATTAATATCTGTCATGTTAAGAGGCTAAATAAATTACATAGCTGTTAATAAATCTGTTGTGTTATTTAAATTGGAACGAACTTTTACTCTGAAAAATTGCAATTAAGAAGGCTAAAACTTATATATAAAAGTTATCAAAGGTTTTATTTAAATTTCGAACTGCCTTGCAAATAGAAAGCTGTTTATTAAAATAAAAATATAAACAAATGAGTGATGTTATTCACTATTCGTCATTAATTTTGAAGAAAGTTTTTCCCTGGGTACTACTTAGTTTTAATTTCCATGCATTATTTGAGAAAAGTACTATACAAGCCTTGGCCACAGCTAAACATTGATGGACCTCAGCTGCGCCTCAGCCCACATTTACATATTCATCCATCAATGCTTCTTGCTGGCTGCTGCAGTAATGTACTATAGTAATAATTATATTCAGAATTGCAAGCAAGTTTTGTCTTATGAAAAAGAAAATCGGCCGAGGGTTCCGTACAAACCTAGGTAGGTATATTCTAATAATTATTAATATATATATATGATGTAACTAAAAATTTACGGTTTTCGGATTTTTTCCTTTATCTGTACTATAAGACGTTACTTCGCACCAAATTTCAAGATTCTAAGTTCACGGAAAGTATCCTGTTAGTTTTGATTTCTGTGCGACTTGACAGACGGACGGGCGGACGGGCGGGCGGACGGACGGACGGACAACAAAGTGATCCTATCCTAAGGTTTCCTTTTCAGGTACGGAACCCTAAAAATAGTGTTATAGGTTTGTTTGCTAAAATCTTGTCAATTTTGCCAGTTATGTGATGTGAAGCTGCCAGAAGTAGAGGAATTGCTCGCCAAAGAACCTCCGCCTGGATACCTCTGCCACCAGACATGGGGCTGGTTGCCTCCTAACACTGATCAACTGTGTCGGGACTACATATCTAAATACATGAAAGACACGATATTTGCAAGTAACGCCGGTGATGAATTAAAGATTGAGGTAACAACAGATCTCTTCTTTTTTCAGGCTTCGAATCCGCATCTTCCGCCCAGTAGCCCTATTCGCTAACTGCTTTTGACAGATGGAAGTGATAATCACCGAGCTATTTATAGTGATCCACTGCTGCTTTATTATAATGCTAACTTAATAATAATGTAATAACTTGTTTTGAAAAGCATCTATGGATATGCCATTTTCTTTTTTTAGTTGCACATTGTTCAAGTCAAAAAAGTTAGCAAATAGGCCGGCTGATTGCGGAGGGTTCGTCGAATCCTGTCTAAAACCTGGACCTGGATATTGTTCTAGTAAATATTTTCTACGATTCCTAAATCTAGCAGGTTAATGAATAAAAACATAATAACCAACAGATTTCTTATTTGAATAGATTCAAAATCTCTTCTAGATACGCAATGCTTGTTACATAACTGACGTTTTTAATTTGATTAACACAGATAATCTCTATCTCATATACTCTATTGATATATAGTTAGTTATTATCGGTGATTATTTGATGATAATCACCGATAATAACTAACACCTCCCACCGGCGACGAAGCGACTACCCATCGGCTATTTTCTCGCTCAAGAAATGTACAATAATACATTCATTGTAAACAAAAGAGATGCATATATTATTGATCGCTGTCTGTTCATACTACCTACAAGAACTCGCTCCATTAGTTTGTCACTGAGCGACAAGAGCTATCAAAGATAATGCGATGCTCGCTTGGCGGTCTTACTAGTGCGCATGCATTTTTACTCAGGACTGTCACCACGAGCGAGTGGCGTGAGTAATCGCCCGTCGTAATCGCACACTTGCTTACAGCCCAGCGATAAAACTATCGGAACTAAACACTCGCTTCCCGCTGATCGTCAACTCGTTTCTAGCTCTATGTGTTGAGGACAAATGCCTTATACGTGCACATAGTTGTATGTTGATGTTCATCAGTCATAATTATTTATACTTATTAGTATGGCGATACTTAAAAGACCATTACCGCTTGAAAAGGTCACACGGTGTCGTGAACGGACGGCATCAAGATTATTCGAGGATTTCGAGCTATATTGGTCTTATAAGTATGTAGATAAAGTTTAAAATTATATCACACTGCTATCATTGAGAAAGAGCTCCCCGCATCATTGCCGGTTGCTACCATTCCGGTATTAAACTATTGCTATTAATATAAGGGTCCGAATCGACCCTTATACTACTATATGATCTAAAATAAAAAGATACTTGTCTAACCATGTTAAATTGTTTTAACAGAAAGGCAGCAGCGACGACGAGTCAGATTCCAACTCTGACGAGGCTGAAGACACAGATGGCGTTAGTGCAGCCGCTACCGGTGATGAAATGACATAAAATAAATCACGCCAATTGAACAATTTCGATGTTTTATTTTAAAAGAGATATTAATGACGTTTACAGATGTTTACTTATTTGAAATTTCATTGATATAGACCAAGCCCTGGTAAAAGTTTATTGAGAATAAATAACACTTTAATGTAACTGGCATGGGTGCTCAAAAATACTTTTGAATTGAAATACTTCTCCTTTTTGTTTTAAGTTTTCTAATAAAAAAATTAAAATGCCATGCGTTAACATCTGATCTTCTTTGTTTTCTGCCATTGCCATTACTCGCGAATCTCGCGACGTGCCGCGTTATTTATTGTTCATAACCTGCAATCCATATCCATACAAATATAATAAATGCGAAAGTATTTGTCTGTTACCTTTTGTGTGATGTCTATAGGATATGCGTATCCAGTCCTATCTTCTGCCTGGCCCGCGTGGTTTTTTCTTTCTAGTAAACTTTTCTTTAAATAAAAGTAAAAAAAAATCATGCGTATGGATTGAGATAGTTTGAGACCCAAGAAAGGACATAGAAAAGATAGGATAGTTTTATTCTAGAAATGGGCGGGAAAGGGGGAGGGGGGGGGGGGGTAAAGTTTGTATGGAAAACCAATTTTTCCACGCACACGGAAGTCGCCGGCAACCACTCATAGGTACCTACAATATAATTTTTGTATTTATACAGCATGACACAGCAATCAAAGGTGAACAGTTATTGAATATTCCAATATGTACAAAAAGGTGACTTCATGAATAATCTCATAATAAAGTATTTTTTTAACTGTGAGGCCAAGGCGATACCATATTCCCCAAATTATTTAGTTCTTGCTTGGAGGATATTAGACTTCTCGACTGGTCAGATAGAGGCATTAGATAATGTTAATGGAGTGCGATAAACCCATCTACGAATCGTTGATGATATTATAATTTTAGCCGAAAAGTTGGAGAATCTGAGGCCCATGCAGGAACTTGGACAGATCCGTAATCATAACGTCATCGTAAAATTTTGAATTTAGGAAGCCAGTTTGTTCTTACGTCCCGTAGGGGCGCTGCTTAGTTTTCATAGAAACTGATCGATACGATTATGGAGTTGTCAAAGTTCCTCTGAAACTTGTGATCGAAGAGCTCTGCGACGTGTCTGTTAAAGTGGGCTTCCGGGTGAATACATCTAAAACAAAAATAATGTGCAAGTACACTGATACTAGCCACATTATTGCGAAGTGTATAAGTAAATACGTTTAACGCGGACAAATAGTGAGCTTGGAGAAGTACCTATGAGCAAGAGAGAGAAATCGAACGTTGCATTGGACTAGGTTGTGGTGCGTTTTGTTAAGTGTTCAATTTGCTCTAAGGAGGCGTACTATGAATCTGAAGCGCAGAGCTTTTTATCAGTGCATCCTCTTTTTGCTAGTTTATAGAGCCGAGACGTAAAGATTCATCCAACAAATGATCCACAGGCTACAGGTTGCTCAGAGAGCCATGGGGCGGGATATGTTGGCTTTGGGCTGACAAGATAAGAAATACTGAAATCCGGAGAAGAACTAAACTGCTATAACAGACAGACCCCGCAAATAAAAGGAAATGGAGATGGGCTGGTCACAAAGGTCGTAGAAACGATGGCCGATGGGGAAAGATTTTACTGGAGTGGCGACTCAGAACTGGTCACAGACAGACCAATCTCTTGAAGATAGCGGAAAAGCAATGGATGAGAACAGCACTCTTCCCTCTTTGAGCCATAAAGCTTCGATCATGCTCTGAGGGATGATAAATTCAAACGCAAAACTTCTCAGCCAAAGTTCTTCACATTTACCCAGTAGTAATCTTTCCAATTCGGTATTCATTGTGTAGGTATCTACTTACTGCACTGCTACTCGCAACGGCTATGTATGATATGATTCAGACATTTTATGATCAGGTCATAGGTATGTATGTAATACTTATTATATTCTTAACACTTAAATCCAAAACCGACGTTGTTGTGCTGATTTCAAAGTTCAAACATTACACAGTATGTATAATAAGGGCTTAACTTTGATGTATTAAACCGTTGGAAAGCGGAGCGCGTGCGCACTTGCTTGCCCCTTTTCTCAGTCGGCGCACGATAACGCGCCAATTTTCACGCGAAAAAAATCAATCTTTTTACCACAAGTTTGAGGTGAGCGTTTATTTTTTATATTACCGAAATACTAAAGTGACGCGTATTATTATATTTCTTCGTGTTTGTGGGATTTGGCTGGAGTACCTATATCAACATATTTAGTTAGTTCAATTCAGTTGTCATTGTAAATAAATCAAGTGAGTTCTTAATATAATTATAGAGTACAGTCTTCAACTGTACCTGACCAAACTGTTTATTAATTAAGGTTCTACGAGCGGATGCCTTGGGGCTAATAGTCTAACTTTGGCTCTTTCTCTCTCCCTTCATTGCCAAAACAAAGTTTCAATGTGACAACAATCTCTTTCACCTAACTTTTAGCGATTACTTATCGCTAAAAGCTAGGCCCCAGATCAGAGTAGTGAGTGCAACACCGAACAGCGCCTGGGACTTGTGGTTGTAACCCAAGAGTAGGTACGTTAGACTAAGCCAACCCCCCTTCAAATATGCACATTAGTTATATTCACCTGTGCTCTGCTGCCGGAATTTTTCTTCCTGCCTAGCCAAAGGTAAAGGTCCTGTACCGGTGGTTACATGAGGTATACATTATATAACTATTAACGTGGTTTCAGATATTCGTCGCTTCAATGTACAGCTTATAATAATTAAATTTTTGGTCAAAGGTCTATCTTTCAGTATGTACTTAGGAAAATGCATCAACCTAGTGAAATAAGAAAGCGTTATTTATGCTGATTTTAAAAAGTGTAAAAATCGATCGTGCTAAGCTATCATTTTGTTGCTACTTCGCAAAAATAAACAAGAAACTGATAAACTCCTTTGTCTTTGACCTTGTTTAATATTTAAGTACCTACCTAAGTCGTAATTAAAAAGATTGAATTTCTTAGGTGTTGGTGTGGTCACAAAATGGCTTACGTGTTCAAATTAGAGCGTAGTGCGGAGTTGTCCCCAGAATCGAAGTTGGTAGCCGAAAAAGAACTAAGGGAGACCCCGGAGAGGGTAAAGGAGGGATTGAAGCGCACCCGAGAACTGCTCAAACAGAACCCTGATCTTTATTTCGGTGACGACGATGAGATCTTCACTATATTCCTACGGCCGTGCAAGTGGTACCCGGAGAGCGCCTTAGCATTAGTAAGTAATTTAGTTACAGTAATTCTAAGTTTCAAGCATTTCCTTGGAAATTAAGTCAAAGCTCGGCTCGCTTGCCGTTTGTGTGGCAAAGGCATATATATGCTTCATTTGTATAGACTCAAATTATTTTTTTCATGTCGTGTTTAAGTTATGTAAACATCCCAGTTTTCTTTTGACATTGAAAATATTTTAAACAACAAAATAACTCGAGTACTAAGTACAATATGTAAGTTGAAGTGTACTTTGTTAAATATCTCCAATAGTTGTACAAGTATGCATTCGTGTTTATGTAGTTTGGTCTAACCTCAGCTCGCATGTCGATAATGTCGGCTCATTTGCGTAATCGATTGACTTCCTCAAAGCAAATTTTCTAGTTATAGTTATCTTACCTTACTTACTATATTTTTTTTAATTCGGCATATCATTCAAAGGAAGAAAAATATTAGAGAAAAGTACCATCAAGCTTTTTAACATGTCATGTACATGTGAATATCTTCTACTTTATGTTCGAAACCATACAAATGCTTGGAAACAACAGGAGAAAATTGCTCTGCAAGGCTTGCAATGTTCAATCGTGCGTTTAATTCATGCACCAGTCACTTCGTTCAGGGTAAAAAGGATACGAACCCAGTTCAGGGTTATTGTTTTGCCCAACTACCGGTGGTTAAACGAGTATACACTCGTGATCGACCCAGTATCTATATATATATGACTAGTGAGTGCCCGCGATTTCGTCGGCGTGGTATAATTTTATTCCCATACAAAGTTCCACTTCTTTTTCACTAACTTAAAGGATGACTTCTAGGATAAAAACTATCCTATGTCCTTTCACGGCAATATACTAAAATGAATACCAAAGGACAATGTTAAAATTGGCCTAAGAACCAACACCAATTTGGCATTTATGATAATTCTTAATATATTTTTTGGGATAATTATCAGTATTTAGATTGTGACGGACACTTCCAGTTAAGTAAGCTAAATTAAAAAGTTAAAAAATATTCTGAGTCAATAAATACCATTTTATGTGTATAAAATGGTATTTATTGACTCAGAATATTATATATAATCTATGATAACGCTGCAAACAAAACACTCTTTCTTCCTTATGCCGGCACTTTACTTGGCTATTCGTATTTGCTATTTTAAAACATGACATCAGTCTGTCCTTTTCATTCCTTATTAAGCATGACAAGGACAAACTGTTGTCAAGTGAGGGGCCGGCATAAATCGCGATACTCTGTGGTTGTTGTGCAAGCAGGCAGTTTGCATCTGTGGCATTCGTGCATTCGAAAGAGTAGTATAATATACAGGAAAGTACATTCTCGTTTCGGATTACCTGTTGTGTGTGTTTATTTGCGATTGTTTTTTCTTTAATTTAACTATTTCGACTATCTAATATGCCAACGCTTACCAAAGAGCAGAGACCTTATTAACAAGTGCTAGTGAACCTGTGCCACAACATCCTGAGAGGATCATACTGCCAAATTATTCAAGAACACCTGATACACATTCACGCTGCATATTTACACAATATAAATGTGATATACAAATAAATACCATATACAATATGATACAATTATGTTAAAAATAGTCAATAAATAAGAAGCAAAACTACAGTTTTTATTTTATTCATGATTCCTACCTATCCAAGGTTTTCCTAATAGTTATTCTTTAAAATGGAGGAGCTCGATGGCGCAGGTGGTTAGCGCGTTCGGCTGTGATCGTTGAATTTAAGCAACTTTCGCAGTGGTTGGTCATTGGATGGGTGACCAAAAAATCTTCTATCTCGAGCTCCTCCGTGCTTCGGAAGGCACGTTAAGCCGTTGGTCCCGGCTGCATCTGCAGTCGTTAGCACCCACCAATCCGCACTGGGCCCGCGTGGTGGGTCATGGCCCAATCTCCCTATTCCATCCATAGGGAAGGCCTGTGCCCCAGCAGTGGGGACATTAATAGGCTGATGATGATGATGATTCTTTAAAATCACACCGAATAAAATGAATTAGTTGTAATATTAATTCACTTCATACTAAGTTCATAGGTTGACCTATGTTTCATTGAATACTAAACATAACCTCAAAAAACATTTATTTTTCTAATAATTTAAATTCTCAGAAGTGTCCGTCAATAATCTTTGTTTTTACAGTCATTTACTTACGATTTCGAACCTAGAAAATAATATTTCATGATTGTTGGTTCTTAGGCTAACTATGTATGGACGGTGAACAATGTCCTTTCACCTCAATAGGTTCAGGAGTTTAAGCGTAACAAGGTAACAGACAAAAAAAGACAGTTTTTTTTTTATTTAGGGGGCATATTGGCATGGATTTAAAAATCACTGTAATGTCAGTAAAAATTGATTTTAGATCTCTTAGAAGTCTTACCCTGATCTTAAAAAAATTGGACAGACGAGACGACAAAACTGAATTTGTTTAACAAAAATTTTTAGTATTTACGCAACTATGGTTTGTTAACTTGCATTTATGCAACACCATGCTCATGCCCATCAGATATTATTGTGTACATAATAATTATTTAATTATGTTGCTTATGTCTAAGAGAATCACGGTAATTAGACTAATTACTTCACGCAGTAAAATGTAAGTATGAAGAAAAGGAAATGGTGTGGTCAAAATGATTTTTTTTTGTTTCCTCCCAAGCGGGGGGAGTGGGTGTGAAATCCTCATGGATACCCTACCCCTCTTACTCAGACCCGCCTTTCCCAGTGGGCACTTTGGGTGCCCAGGGCCCCGCGATCGATAGGGGCCCACCTCAGATCACAAATACAAAGTCCCTTGTTCCTGTTAGATCACCAAACGGGGGTCTGAGAGGCCGCATTATCCTAATATGCCCAGGGCCTCCAATAGGTCAAAGACGGCACTGCTCTTACTGCGCTACAGGACGGGTGCACTCAGATGTGCACCCGAAACGGATCAAAATCAATTCCAGAGATGTTTTAATATATATACTTACCTCAACCCATTCCCTGTACCCCGTAGCTTCATGGAACCTTACTAAAGGGCGTCGCCAGCTTATGACTAAGTGGGGGGCAATGGGGCAATATAATTAGGTAAGGAAGTCAATTGCTCGCACTGTGGTCGCTTTGCGGCTAGCTACATTTGATCTCTAGGGCGGGGGAGGGGGGGTCCTCCATGGCGACGCCCTGGACCGAAGTGTTATTTTGACATGAGTAATAATTCCAACTTGACAAGCTTGGAATGACTGGCTTCCTTGAGACATCTGACTCCCCTTTTTTGCTGCATCATTCCCTTCTCAGGTGATGATCGCACAGATGAAGTCTGTGTAGGTGATATAATATATTAACTATTAAATTGTGTAAATATTAACTAAAATTATATTTATCTACATATTATATTTTACATCATCCGAACATTTGCCGGGTGATACGGCATGGCCCACTCGACACGCCGTCGCGTCGTGAAATGTAAATATATATAATTAAGGTGTGAATTAATTATAGAAATATATTATGTATAAATAAAGTGTAAGTCACCTACATCTGTAAGACCCTTATAGCCATAGCCTCCCCCCAAGGGTGTGTTTTAGTCAGGAAGAGTCTGAAATAACCCTGCAGCTGGCTGTCAAGCCCTACGTCTCTACAGTACCTATATTATTTGAGATGTGTCAGTAGTATGAGTAGGTATGTATGTATTTACCTTAATGTAGTAGTAGTGAGAATACTAAGCCTCACAATGTCACCTACATACAAATTACAATGGTGAGACAACGACGTCATCAGGAACATTACATTACATTTGTTCTATGAGACCTTCATTGTTTGTAGAGTAAAAGGTGAAGTGTTTAGTTTAAAAAAGTCTGCTCTCATCCAAGAACGTTTTGTTAAACTTTAAACAAAAGGATACCAAACGTATAACTACGCATATTTAAACATAGGTACTCTATATCGAAAAAAATAATGATTAAAGTCCAAATTATATATATAGAGTGTAAAAAAACCTTTAACGAAGTCGAAGGCCACGTATTTTCCACATCATGACTATAATTTTTTTCTTTCTGGACCATACCTGGGAAACTTATTTTTATGGAGATATTGAAGGTCAAAGTCACAATTTTTTTTCAAGATTTTACATTAATATTTTCGAAACGTTATTTAAAACTTTATTATCGACACACTTACACACACACAGGCACATTCTTTGCGTTGCGCCACAGTAGCGCGCCTCGCTATACATTGCGTACTGATTTTTTTTTTATTTAAAATACAAACTATTCCCAAGTATAATTAATTAATTTTATAAATTTTGTAATATTTCTTGTTTGGGTGTACAGAATGCGTAGTTTTAGTCTTTGTTATAGGATTCTTTACACCCTGTATTATTATTCCAAAAATCCCCATTGATATATCCTCACCAGTGGGGTTTATATTTAAATACGTAGCTGACTCAGTGGGAAGTTGACGCCATGAATAGGTACCTAGGTAATTTCTACTTAGCTTTAAAGTTAGCAGACTGAAGGGGTTTTTCCAACCGGTCAGTCACTTCAATATCTTCTTTAATTAAAACCTAAGTTTTTTACAATATCTTGATGGTCCGACATTTCGGTACAATTGGATCTGACATCTTCCTAGAGGGATTTCAATAATCTAGCACTACGTGGTGTATGCATATTACAAATGTATCTGCAATAACATTGAACTTATACCTAAATTATCAAGATGCGATTATGTTTTATGGTGTAGTCCAGACGTACAACTCCGTTCTCTTGCTTTCGAGGAGGAGAAACTCCAGATTTATTGGAAAAGGCCATATTGGGCCCCTTGAAGACCTCTCGATTGGGTAGTCGACCACTTGAATGATCGATTGATTGCAGCTTTGCCATCTCCTAGAAGAATCTTTCAACTCACTGCTTATAGTATAAATGGCCCGGGGCGACATATTTCAAAATATTCTCCTAAACATGAAAAATGTTTACTAAATAAAACCGGCAATCGGGGTGTGCGGGCCGTTTTTATTTTCACCTTGGCTTGAAAACAAGTATCTACTGTGTTATATAGCACAACCTACCAATTATCTGCATTTTCTCCGGAGAAAACTGGCCCAGTAACTGAATTAAGCACGATCTAAGTATGCATATCTAGCTAATATTCTGCATGTTTTAAGATATACGATTTCTGTGCGTTAACCATCAAATATTATGGTCGACAAAAGCTAAAGATTTATCTTTTTGAATAAACGGTTTGTTTGGCTTAATGATTTCATCACTTATATTTTTATAGTGATGATTTTATTTTATTTTTAAGCATTTAACTGCTAGATGTTTAAATCTAAAGAAAAGTTTACTAGAAAAAAAACCACGCGGACCAGGCAGCGGACGGCACTCGAACCCGCATCCTTCGCAATCCGGGCGAATGCACTGACCATTATGCTACCACGGCCCTATTAGCCGCGTAGCGTTTATTTTTTCTAGTAAACTTTTCTTTAGATTTATATTTTTATATTTTTTGCTAGATAAACTAATGGCTTAGTCTAGCTAGACGAAAGTCTAAAAGGCAAGATTTCAAAACTTCAATTTATGAAATAAAGTTTTGAATAAACCGTGTCTGTAGTACTAATCTGTAGAACAAACTTACTTTTCACCGCTGAATTCGCCGATGTGATATGACTTTGAAATTGACATTGTTTTGAAATTAATATTTTAATTTCAAATTACACCGCGAAATCTGCGGTGAAAATGAGTTTTTTTACAGAATAGCACTGCTGATATCTATTTCAGTTTTTCTCTCATGATTTGGCTTCCACGATTTGTTCATTAGCAAAAATTCAAGTAGATTAATATTTGTCGTGACTTGGTAAACTTATATGGCTTATGGTATTTTTTAGTTTTGTTATGGTTATGAGGCTGGTCATTGAGTTCCTAAATTTCTGTGCGTAAAATATTTTAAGCTAAAATAAGTTCACTATAAGATGTATGTATGTTAACTTAAATTTTGTAATGGGAGGTCCCTTCATGCAATTTTTCTTTATTGAAGTCATAGGTATTTTGCCGAGTTCCTTGCTGGTTCTTCTCGATTCAAAGACTCGCATCAGATTTGCGAACTGATGTTATAGCCTTTGGAATAAAACATATTGTTAAACTAATTTTTTTTGAAGTTTATTACTTAGTTTACTAATTTTCATTTGCAGATGCGTCGCGTAGCTGAGTTCAAACGTGACAACGCACACCTGCTATCGGGCTTGCGACCAGAACACATGAAGGATACCGTCTTGAAGTGCAATACTGCTACAATACTTCCGAAACGAGACCACAAGAACAGGAGGGTCACAATCGCTAATGGCGGATGTAATTGATTGATGTTCTTATTATAGTTTTACTAAATTTCCCACTTTGAAAGTTGTTGGTAATGCCACATCATTCCATGTGACATGTGGCACAGACTTTTCTGTGCAGTAAAAGTCTATAATTGGACAGGTACTTTTGGTTTCACTATTAAGAGCTGGATGGTGCAGTGACTAGCGCGTTCAGTCTTTTAATCGTGGAAATTAAGCAACTTTTCAATGGATGGGTGACTAAAATGTTATACTTATCCCGAGTTCCTACATGCTTCGGAAGGCATATAAAGCCATTGGTCCCGGCTAATTCGGCAGTTGTTACTTAGCACCCACATATCTACACTGCGTGGTGGGACATGTCATGTCCCGCTCTTCCTAATCTGTTCTTAGTGAAGACCTGTGCCCCAGCAGCAGAAGAGTAAATGGGCTGATGATGTGTCGTATAGCATTTTGGTCGACTAATATGAAATGTAGTGGCATTCTTGAGATAACATAGCCATATTTGCATGGAAGTGTGACAGATTTTTGTCGCAGAGCAATATACCGAAGTTTATTTAATATTATTTACAGCTATATGGGACCCTAGCAAGGCGAATGTGGACGAGCTGTTCAAGTGGTTTTACTTATTACACATCGTGCTGCTGTTGGAGCCGGAGACTCAGGTCAACGGCATGGTATCGATACTGGACTACCACAACATGGGTTGGTCGCAGGTATGATGTTCGCCTATTTAATGTTTCTATAATAAAATCTAATTTTCTAGCAATGACTCGAAAAAACTCACACTAAAAGTTCACATGTGTTTGGCAGTAGACAGATGGCTTGAGGAACATGATCTTCAGTTAAATATCTCAAAGACTAAACTCATGCAGTTTCAACCTCGTCAGAGCCCCTGTTAAAGTTTGATGTGTGTTACAATGGCAATAACTCTTGGTCTTTTGGGTTTGGAAATTGATACAAACATTAACTGGAAATGCCATATAGAAAAGCTTGTGGGTAAAGTCTTAGAATTTGTGTACGTGCTCTATGAAATAAAGCAATGTACTGATATAAAAAAACAGCTACTGCTGCTTATTATGCCTATGCTCCTGCGTGGTTGTCTTATGGGGTAATCCTATGGGGAAATAGCGCCAATGTCAATCAACTTTTTTTTGCTTCAAAAGAGATATTTACAATACCCTTGTAGGGCTCATGTTGTGATATTTCATTTTCATTTTAAGAACCTATATACCAACATGAAGCTATAAAGATTGTGTTCGGCTGGCCGCATTCGAGGGGAAGGGCCCAATGAATGCGGATGAGAAAAACAGGGCAGTGACAGTCTCCGCTGACACGGAAAGAACCGAAAAGCGGTAGAACCTTGTGCTTCGTCCTCCGGAACTCAGGAAAAACGCCCCACTGCGACGTCTGAGTACCGAGGGCCGGCGATCGGAACTCGTCCCATAGGAGCATAACCTCCTAGAGCCCAGGGCTCTAGACCGACGCAGGTGGCGAGGCCTGCTAACAAGGTTCCTAAATACAATTAGATATACAGGGATACGCTGACGATGTCGTGGCTTGCGTCAATGGTCCGTTTTAAACTACCGTATCGTCTATCCTGCAAATATCTCTATTAGTAAATGGATACATAGAACAATCTATCAGTAAATCCCAACAAAACAACAATAATACCTTTTACTAGGAAGCGAAAGTTAGATCAACTTACAACGCCCGCGATAAAAGGAATCCCTGTTCTATTTTCCACGGAGGTTAAATACTTGGGCGTTACTATCGACCAAAAATTAACGTGGAACAATCACATTGATAATGTGATTCAGAAGGCGAAATTCGCCCTTGGACTATGCTGTCGGCTTACTGGGACGAAATGGGGTTTTAACCCAAAAATCTTCCTGTGGATGTAGACCGCCATCGTAAGGCCGATATTAACGTACGCCTGCGTAGTGTGGTGGAAATAAGCCACTCAAACGACAGTCATCAATGAGCTGAATAGCTTGCAAAGAATAGCATGCCTTATGGCAATTGGTGCTATGTCTTCAATGTACAGTGCTGCACTTAATGCTTTGCTTAAAATACCGACCCTTCATTTATATTCATAATAAAGGAGGCGAAAGCAAGTATATACACACACACACACACATATATATATAGTACATATAGTATATATAGTATAGTAGTACAGAGTAAGCACTACTGGCAGTGGCAGGACGAAATGGCACTATAAAGCACTGAGGTCTGCTCTCCACCAAACAGCGCTTGAACTGACACCATTAGCAATGACTACAGATGTCATGATTCCACTGAGTAATTTTGCTAGATATTCTAGCTTTTCTTAGCTGCAAGGCAGCGCCATCTCTTCGCATTGTAGGTAACCCACAATAACACCCACAATAGCGGTAGCATAATTGGTCAGTGCATTCGCCCGGATAGCGAAGGGTGCGGGTTCGTGTCCCGTCTGCTGCTTGGTCCGAGTGGAATTTTTTCTAGTAATACACACATCAAAAGTGTCTAGGGATCAAGCATTTTTATGCGGATTTCTTGAGATTGAGATGTGGCTTTGTAATAAATTTATGATTTTATAAATTTATATGGATCCTTTTTGGTGCATTTCATAATTTGAATCAGGAACTGTGAATCAAATTCGAGTAAAAGATGAAAATCAGCTGTCAATATTTTCCCTATAAAAACATACAACGCATTGAAGACATTATTAGTGCTACTGTTTCCCTACTACTGATTAAAACCAACGTTATTATGGAGCGGCGACGTCATTTAAGCAGGGAAGAAATGCTCAGAGCCGTGGGAATGATAGAAGCTGGTTCCCGGCAACGTACTGTGGCTTTAGCTCTGAATACAAGTCAGAGTGTTATCAGTCGACTTTGGACACGATACCGAAGCACTGGTACCGTGGCTGAGCGCCATGGAGGACGGTATCGCTGCACCACACGGAGACAAGACCGATACATTCAAATCTTAACTCGAAGAGCTCCAACAATAACCGCCATGATGTTAGCCGTGAGGCTTCATCACTCTTCAGGGAACTTAATTAGCGACCAAACAGTCAGAAACCGCTTGCATGAAGTGAACCTTCATTCCCGAAGACCGCTACGGGTACCACCTATAGCAATGCACAATCGTAGGATTCGATATCAATGGGCTCTTGAACACAGAAATTGGGCAGAAGAACAATGGCGTTTCGTGTGCTTTTCTGATGAGTCTCGTTTTGGTATGAGACCGGATACAAGACGTATACGACACTGGAGAACCCCTGGACGCCAACAGCGATTAAAATCCTGCCAGGAAGTCCATCCTTATAGTGGTGGAACCATCATGGTATGGGCGGGTATTTGGATCGGCGGAAGAACTGAGTTGATTTGGATCAGAGGCAACCTCAACGCTCAAATTTATGCTGAGACGATTGTATCAGACGTCATCGTTCCTCTACAAGTGCAAATCGGTCCCTTATTTCAGTTAATGCATGATAATGCACGACCGCACACCGCAAGAGTTGTAAGACAGACTCTCGCCGCAGCTAACATCAATGTCCTGCCCTGGCCTGCTCAGTCGCCGGACTTGAACCCGATTGAGCATGCATGGGATATGCTACAGAGAAGAGCTCTGCCGAATATGGAGGGTATCCAGTCGCAAGAAGACCTTTTTTTGTTGTTGCAACGAACATGGGCGGCCATTCCACAGCGTGATTTGGATGAACTCATTTTGAGTATGCCAAACCGATGTTCTTGTGTTGTTAGTGTTCGCGGTAGAAATACGGATTATTAATTGTTTAAGTTACCCAATAAAATTTTAGAGAAAACTGTTATTTCAGTCTTTTTTTCGAACTTTTGTGTTAGTGGTTCAAATGTCAAAAATCCCTTTATTAGGAAAATGGCAAATTTCTTTATTAATGCAAAGGTGACTTGGTTTATCGTTACTGTGACAAACGAAAACACTTTATTTGATGAATCCTTAAAGAAAATTTTAATTAATATCAATCAGGAGAAAAGTTATTGCAAAAATATATGTTGATCCCTAGACACTTTTGATGTGTGTATTTTCTTTAGATTTAAATAAATAATATGTTCTGCTGCCCACCGTCTGTGATATTGCTGTGCTGACGTTCGATGCCCACACACTTCTATAGACGTCTCTTTTTCATCCGCAATATAACTAGATGGGAAGCTGGTGCAGTATGCTTGTTATATAGTTATAAGTCAAGCAAGTCACACTTTTTACGGAAGACCAGCAAAATTGTGTGATGTTGTAAAGAGCAGAGTCCAACTGTAAACTAAATTGTGCTGATTGGGCAATATTCCTGAGTGATTTTATCGTAAAAGAAAATTTTCTGGCATACGTCTCAGTCTCATTATATGTTATTTTTTCTCATTCAGTCCAGCGTGTGCAGTGCAGCGTACATGATCACAGGCTGTTATTTTGGAATGACCCACACAGTGTGAAAGATCCTGATCTTCAAACTATTACGTTGATCCAATTCCTTACCCAAGATTGAAGGTTTTCATCGTCTACAGCAGCAACTATGGCGCAGGCCACATTGAGCTCAAAACTGGATTCTTTTTGCTCCACATACGCATTCCTTTATAGTAGAGCTATAGAATCAGATATAGTATGTATTTATAGTAGAGCTAAGCGAAGCGATATAGTACGACAAAATGAATGTAGTGGAACGAACTTCGTCTCGCGTTTGGTGTTCCTTTCGAAGCTCAGAGGATGTCGATATATTCATTATTTGGACACCTGTGAACAAATACAATACTTGCACAGACCGTTGCACACCGATATAACATGTGGCCTTTAGTTACTTATCCATAATATATGTTAGGTAGTACGGAAATAATAAAATGTGGTTATTTATTAACTTTCAGGTGACAGCGGTGACTCCGTCTTCGTCGAGGAGGCAGCTGTCGTTCCTTCAAGACGCGTCCGCCGTGCGGCTGAAGGAAGTGCACGTGCTCCGACAACCTATGATCTTCAACGTGCTGTGGAACGTGCTTAAGCCGTTTGTCAAGGAAAAGCTTAAGAAGAGGGTGAGACTATCTATCTATATATGTTGACTATACTTATCAGACTCCTTGGTGTTCGCGCATTCATGTTTGTTATATTTGGTCTTCTTCAAAGTCTTATCCATCTGTAGGTATACCAAAGTTCATCAAAGACCGTTCTGGATCAGCAATGCTATTCTGTAAAGACTCGCAAAATTTTCACGCGCGAATCCGTATTGGAGTCGCTTGCAGCATTGCAGGCGATAAGATAATAGGGATAAGTCGTTTGGCAAGGAAAAATTTAGAAGGAAGTGAGTTAATTATAGTTATCATAGACTCGCTGGTGCCCGTGAATGCATGTTTGTTGTGTTTGTGCTTTTTCAATATTCTTAGTTTCATCTATCTGTATCAAAATTCATTAAAATTTGTACTGATCCAGGAGCTAATAAGAAATAGAGCGTAACATATACTTTCGTTTTTATAATATTTTTCATAGTTCAATTGATTCAGCAGCATTATGGCTATGATTTTCTCGCGTACTTACAACTAAGCGAAATACGGAGTATCTGGAGTGGACGTGTGAAGAATGTCACAAAGAAACACCTCGTCGTAAATCCATAGTGATTCCCGATGATGACGATGACGATGATGATTTGAACACTATAAACCAGCTGAATAATATCGAAGACGCAGCAACTAAGAAATTGCTTCGTGACATTTCTATCGAGGTCAAGAAAGCTGTGAAGATGGAATTATCACCAGTCAACGAAACATTAAGCTCCTTTTGTAAAAAAATGGATTCTATGAGTGATACTTTGGATGCACTTAATGATAAAATTAAGGAACTGCAAAATCAAAATCAATTCCTGAAGAATAAAAATACCCACTTGGAATTAAAAATAGATGCAATGGAGCAATACGTACAAAAAATGGAACAGCAACAGCTAAACAATATAGTCGAAATTGCCGGTATTCCCGAGACGGAGGATGAAAACCTGGATATTCTCTCAACAAAAATAACTGCACAACTCGATGTCGATGAAAAGCAAGTCAGTGTCGTAAAAAGACTGAAAGGTAGAAACGGAAAATATGGTTTGCTTCATTTTGCCTTACGCCAGGAGAAACAGGTTGATCAGTGGATAAAGGCTTCACGGAAAACACCTATTCTAACAGAGGACATCATACCCGATGCTAATCCCGACGTTGCAAAATCGAAGATAATGATTAGACACGCATTATCTAAAACGAACAAAACTTTGTTGTGGCAAGCTAAACAGGCATTGAAGGATACTTACAAATATACCTGGTTTCAAGATGGTAAAATACTAACGCGCCAGAATGACGACGATAAGCCGATAATCATAAGGAATGCCCAAGATATTGACAAGATAGTGACCCAGGAAAAAGGTCGTCGATAGTAGATGCTATGATAACTACAGCACTAGTTTCACCTTCGGATATTTGTGAAGTTCACGATTGTTCGGATATAAACGACTTTAGTACCTACCTGCCTCAAAACATTAAACCTATTTTAAATATAGTGCATGTTAACGTTCGATCAATTATTAAAGCGTTTAGTTTAGTATTGCAATTTTTAAGCTCCTCATCGATAAACATCGACGTCATGATTCTAACGGAAGTAGGTATATCTAGCAGCAGTAATCTTGAACATTTATTTCAGATAAAAGGGTATGTTATGCATAATTCTCTTCGCGAACAACGAAGAGGTGGGGGTATAATTATGTATATAAAAAACTGTCATAATTTTCAATCACTAAATAACTGTACACTAAAACACTGCGAATCGATTATTGGAAATATTAGAACGATAAATCACTACACGGCTCATATTTGCGCACTGTATCGACCTCCTAAAGAAAGTAAGCACTTATTTATTAAAGAAATTAAAGATTTACTCTATAAAGACATATTTCAACAAACTGATTTATACTTATTAGGCGACGTAAATATAGACCTGAAATGTAAGGACAGCATCCGTGAATATTACATTAACTGCATGGCTGAGTGTGGTCTAATGAGCGCAATAACTGATTACACGAGAATAGAAAAACGAAATGATACTGTAACACGTAGCTGCATAGACCATATATTTGCACGTTCGCGCTTATTAGACTTGCACTCCGCGGTGCTCGGAACAGTAATGGCAGACCACTGTATGGTTGTATTGTCGTGCGTTGGACGCGAAACGGAGGGCACTATACAGGACGATGCTATTTTTAAAGAATTTATAGACTTTGGCAAATTAAAATCATGTTTGGAAAATATTGATTTTTGTGAAGTTGACGATCTGCAATGTCCGCTACAGATTTATGATCTTATTAAAAACAAATTTAATGCCTGCTATAACCAGTCTAAATATACAAAAACAAAAAGTAAAATTAGTAAAAGGGACAGGGAGTCGTGGATCAATTCTAAAATTAATAATATGTGCAATAAAAGAGATTTACTATTTAAACAATGGAAACAGGATAGGAACAATAAATTACTAAGACTTGAATTTACTAAACAAAGAAATATTACACAAAAATTAATTCAAAAAAATAGGAACAAATACTACAACGAGCAAATTATTATTAACAAAAGTAATCCAAGGAAAATGTGGGAAATTTTAAATTCTTTAACGGGTCGAGTTTGTAAGTCTGTTGACGATGCAATATTAAAAGCTTTTAAAAAAAACAACACAACAATAAAAACTATAGCAAAAAATTTTGGTAAAGAGTTTGACGAAAACGTGAAAAATATATTATCTAACTGTAATAATAATATTTTACAAGAATCAGAATATACACACCCAGAAAATAAGTCAATGTTCTTTAAAAAACCGACTAATCGAATCGTTTTAAATATCATAAATCATTTAAATAAAAACAAATCAGCGGGTGTTGATGGAATACGGTGCATAGATGTAAAGTTTATAGGTGAGAAAATAGCGAAAGTTATAGTGAAGTTAATTAATACCAGTATAAAAACAGGAAAATATCCACAAGAACTAAAAACAGGTATAGTAAGGCCTGTTTATAAAAAAGGATCGCATAGCAATTATGAAAATTATAGGCCCATTACAATATTGCCAGTTATCGACAAAATAGTAGAAAAATACGTCTGTAAGCAAATTCAGGATCATTATAAAAAATACAATATAATTTCAAAGTCTCAGTTTGGTTTTCAACCACATAATTCAACGTCAATTTTGTTATCTAAATTTACAAATGAAATAAATGAACATCTTAATGAGAAAAAACATGTTATTTTACTATTTATAGATTTTAGCAAAGCATTTGATACACTTAGACACGACACGTTAGTAAATAAGTTAAAAAACACGGGAATACGCGGACCGATTCTGCGATGGTGTGAAGAGTACCTTAAAAACAGGATATATCGTGTTAAGGTTGAGAATGAATATAGCGATGAAATATCGGTTACAACGGGCACGGCGCAGGGTTCCGTACTAGGGCCGACACATTATTTAGCATATGTCAATGATATGGAGAAAGTTGTTAAAAATTGTTCTATTTATCAATACGCAGACGATACATGTCTGATAGCAGCAAATAAAGATGTATCAGAAGCCGAAAGTCAATTACAATTAGATTTTGACAACCTTTGCAAATGGTCTCACGATATGGGGTTGGTAATTAACATAAATAAAACAAAAATTATTCATGTTCGTTCAAGTCATTTGCTTAACAGTAACCGATCTCTTAAAATTACTGCGCATGATCACAAGTGTCTACACACCCTGGTATCATTGAGATGTGATTGCGAATGTGAATTGATAGAAGAAGTCTGTAACTATAAATACTTAGGGTTAGTCGTCGATGATCGTTTTAATTGGAGTCAACACATTGATGCCGTGTGTGACAAACTAAGAGCTATTTTAGCTAAATTTGGAATAATCAAATATAAAATACCTTTCAAGTTATTAATTAATTTATATAATGCGCTAGTGGAGTCAATCATTTTGTATGGCATTACTAGCTATGGCAGAACGTTTAAAACTTATTTAGAAAAAATTTATAAATTACAAATCAGATTTTTAAAACTAATGATACCTAAAAACATCAGAAAAACACTTTGTAACGGTGAAGATATTAGCGGAATGTTTAAATATTGTAAAATTTTACCTATATATTCTAAAGTAAAATTGATGATATTGATTGAACAATTTGACAATAAAGATATACAAATAAAAATAAATCATAAAACAACAACTAGAAAAATCACTCATTTTAAATTTAATATTCCTATAACAAAAAATTATTATGGTAAACGGACCAATGCATTTTTAGTACCACTTTTAATGAACGAAATACCGACAGAAATTTTGCAAGATATAACTAGTAAAAATTGTAAATATAAATATAATAAATACTTTTACGACACTTCATTACTGTTCTACTAAAGAAAGGGCATCCTCCTGTATTATGCGCACCGACAACTAGCATCGTACCTGTGTACGGCTTATCGTGTTTTTGTTAGATATTGGCGGGTAAACGTTATAACATTTATACCTTCCTACTTGTAAAATTTAATGAGCTATGGAAATTGTTGTGTATCGTATATTTGCGCTGTTATGTATTATTATGCCGAGAACTGGAAAAGTATAATTTAAGAATATCAAAACTATGTTATTTAAGTGACTCAGTATCCGGACAAACCCAATGTGGGTTTTTGTGATACTTTTTATTAATACTACTACTGTATTTTGTATTATCAAATAAAAAAAAAAAAAAAAAAAAAAAAAAAAACTACACTGTTTTGGTCGGAACTTGTGGTTAACTTTGGACAAGAACCGTCAATCCACTGTTGGATTCTTAATATTAGACATGCATCACCTTATTACCTCAAAAAAGTTAAACATGCGTTCAACACGAGTTTAAGAAAAAATGTCTTACAAAATTTGCCTTAACAAGGTTGGAAGACCGTTAAAATTTTCCCGTTCATTCCCTGTTAGACGTATTCCCTTCACGTATCGCTGTTTATTTTATCATGCAAACTATTTTGAATTAAAGTGTTGACAATATCATTGCAGCTAATGTTCCACGGGTCCAAGTTCTCGTCGCTGCACAAGCACATCCCTTCTGCGCACCTCCCCGCGGAGTACGGCGGAGAACTACCTCCTACCGACTACTCGGGCGTGCCGCTGTATGAAGTACTCCAGGAGAACCGTGCTTTTATAGAGAAATGGGATTCATACGGATTCGTCAGCACTAAGTAGCCCATTAAAAGGTCCATGAGTAAATTGTTATTGTTTTTCTTTTAAGCCATTGCCCGATCACTTTGATTTCATATTAAAAAAAATAAACAAAAAAAACGTCTTCAAAATCGAAAAAGGAACTAAAACGTAAAAAAAAAAAATCTGTTTCATGTTTTGGAAGTCGAGCGGGTCAAGATTGAAAGACATATTATTACCGATCAGAAACGAAACTCTATTTAATGTTTCAATCTTGACCCCGCCCGTCTTGCAAATCATGAACCAGATATTATTTTTTACTTTTTTTTTATTTCATCCATTTTAGTGAAAATTACATCGTCGAAGTAAACAATAACAATTGGTGGAGAAATCGGTGAAAATGCATAAAAAAACATCGTGCGTACCTTTGAAATTTGAAGGTTTCCCTCGATTTCCCCGGATTCCACCATCAGATCCTGACTTGGTTCCAATGGGACCACCTCGGAACTGCACTCTTTCGAATTAAAAAAATAATTTCGGTCCACAATTGACGGAGATCTCGGTGAACATATACAGTCGTACATAGAACCTCCTCCTTTTTTGAAGTCGGTTAAAAAAGACCGCCCACCTGGTATTTGGGCGTGCTGTAATTTAAGTTAATGATGTACTTCAGGAGAACCGCGCCTTCATCGAAAAATGGATTTATACCTTAGAATGTACACTCTAAGATTTATACGGATTTGTTAGCACCAAGTAGCCTAATAAAGACAGACCTGCGGGATTGGCATTCACTTGTTTATTATACGTCAAGCCCTTCCTGCAGTGCTACTCTGTAGGAACTAACTCACTATTCATCTCAGAATACGCGGTGTGATTTAAAATTTTTGAACACGAATCTATTTACAGGGTGGTCCAATTAGTGACATCAACATTTTTTTTTAGATTCCTTGCACCTATGTATCCGAAAATACCCTATGTATGTTCCGCGATTTTTCTTAGTTTTACCAGTTATATTTTTTTGTGTATTTTTAATGTTTTCAGCCAGCGAGGTTTCAAAAATTCTTATCTTTTTTCGTAGTAGGTATTTTGCAGTCTTTTTTGTTGTTTAAAAAAAAAATAACTCAGCTTTCTAAAATTACTTAAAGTTACTCAAAAAGGATTGAAAATTGGAACTTTATTTTTTAGTAGGATTTACTCAAACATTCAACACCAATTTAAAAATACAAAAAGGAGTTTAAGCAAGCTTCTAAACTTCCAAAAATCATAAAAAAATAGTACTAAATTAGCCAATTTTTGTTTTAAGTGGCTTTCGAAGGCGGATAGACTAAAAATCATTGAAACACGATTAAAGCATTAAAAACTATTTCATCTACTTTTTATCATTGGTATGGTTAATTAAACTTAAAATGTAATTTCAAATTAAATTTAATTGAAATTCCTGTATAATAACTTTAGCATGTGTAATTTTATAATAATTTCGGTTTCACCACTAAGATTTTAAATGTAAGCAAGAATAAAAATCAAAATGGCTACTTGGGAAATTACCTGTCTTCTGATAACAAATAAAAAGCACAAATTACTGAAAAATGACTATTTATTACAGTAAATTTTCAAAACTCCTTCCTCCAACCTAAAAACATAATTTGACAACGTCTTAAAAAGTTATGTTTTAAAATTTACTGTAATAAATAGTAATTTTTCAGTAATTTGCGCTTTTTTTGTGCTTTTGAAAGACTGCAAAACATCTATTACGAAATGAATTTTTGAAACCTCGCTGGCAGAAATCATTAAAAATACACAAAAAAAATATAACACGAAAACTAAGAGATATCGCTGAACATACATAGGGTATTTTAGGATACTCTCAGGTGCAAGTAATCTAAACAAAAAATGTTGACGTCAATTGGACCACCTGTATATAAAAATTAACAGTCGAAAAGTATGTATGCGCATCACTTCCGAACGACTGACCCAAATTGGATAGTTCTTTTTTATTGCGTTCGTTATTGTTTAGGACAAGGTCTGTAGAAAAATTAGCTTAAAAACAATAATACAGAAAACAAACAAATTGTTAAAATCACTTTTGAAAATAAAAATTTGCTGGCTACCTAAAAATTATATATAAAATTTCTTTTAAAGTATCTTAATAAGAAAAGAAGCTGTCTATCAAGATTAACGGTTTGTGGCCAAAATACTATCACCACTTCTTTTGAAACAGCAAAACGGTATTACGATAATATTACGCGTGTTTTGATTTGTGTTTAGAGATTTTTCGTAGTAATTGATAAGAAAATGTCAGCAGTGTCAAGAAGTATTCAATTTGGTTCAGTCGTTGGAAGTGAAATGAATATGAATAAGCCATGCGTAGTCTTCGTTTATTAATAAAGGGGTTATAGATTAGTTCGACATTTATTCCAAATTAGTAACATGGGTATTATATATATTTTTGTACTAGATATTTATAGCAATCTAATGATATCATATGTAAAATCTGACATTTGGGTAGCAGTTGATTATTCTGGAATAACGCTAAGACTATTTTTCAATTTAGGCATCCGTTTGTGAAATATTGAACATTAAAGTGCAAAGGCCAACCCAAGTACTAAATAATAACTCAGACAGACATGCATGTTACCGACTCCAAATATTAATTTGACTAAAGATAAAAGGGTTTATTATTCCTCGTCTGTGTAAGTGGATGATTTCTGCCAGGGGTTGAGAAAATTATTTTCATATTTTAATTTTTCCTATTTTGCGTTTTGTCATATTTAGTATTGGTTTTTAATTGACAAATCTAATATATAAATAAGTTTGTAGAGAAACTGTTCAGGATTGCTTTACGACATTAATGAAGCCTGGATGTATTGTTCCTTCCTTCTCAAACTGGAAAGAGCGCAAAGAGCAGTTCTTAAAGTGGGTTGGAATTTGCCCTACCGTTTCCCGACAGTCCAGCTTTATTCCATCTGCCAGGTCCTTTCAATACGTCAATTGTTCGTATTAAAAGTCACTGTAAGAACGCATCGAAATACGCCGTACGACCGAACTGGTCTCTCTGATACGCGATGAAAACACCAAGTCTGCCCTTTAGTACGCACTAGCACTAGTTTTGCTAAGCGAAATTATTTTTTCCTTCATTGCTATCTGTATAATAACATTAACAAAATTCTCAAAATCCACCATATACAGATGTCGGAAATGAAGAGAGTAGTCTCAAATTGGCTATTGGAACTGGACTATGACGCTACAGAAAAATTATTAACAACTGATTTTTAATTTGTGAAATAGGTATGTATACTATTTATACTATGTATGTAATATAATGATCGTAATCAAATCAAAAGTAAATTTACGCGCAAATGCACACGCAAATACACACACACACACACAAACACACACTTGCTAGTATTTAAAATATATAGACATTTAAGCGTTATCCTGTAACCCGCATTTACTGATAAATGGCGGTAACTTTCTTTTTCTTTTGCTTATAATTTTGTTATTAAATTCACTATGGTTCTGTAACATTCAATGTAACATTAACTGATATGTACTAAAGGATTCATGTAATGCATAAGAATCTCTAGCAAACGGGCTTTAAGAGGATTTGAGCCTGGGGGTCGTAACACAGGTTTTGTAACCTAGTACAATCTCCAGCTCTCTCAAAGAACTGCATTGTTATTACTGTTTTGTCATTCAATACCCTTTAATTAATTATAATGTTACTTTGTGAGAGAAAATAAATAAATCATTCATTCATTCATTCATTCATTGTGGGATTCGAATTATAAGGTACTAAGTGGATGGCTACACAGCCGAGGGGTATTTCTTCGGCGGTTTAATTTTTTTGCTAATAAGTTTTTATTATAGTTTGTGTATGATTTTGAATACTGCCAAGAGGATTGTATATTTCTTCGCCAGTTACGTTTGCTGTAATATTATTTACATAATGATTTATGAAACATCGTATTCGAAACTGTTAACTTCGCTCCGTATAAAAAAATCGCTTAAAATTACCTAACTTGTTACTGTGAAGCAAAAGTCACACATCTAAGTAAATCACAACTCAATTAACCAGTGATATCATTATCTTGCTATAAATCGACTTAAAAGTTATTAAATAATGGAAAAACACTAGTGGCATACGAAGTAAAAAATAAACTGAGTAACAATTTTGTGCGCGAGTGGACTCCCGAGCAAAGTGGAATAATAAAGGGATTTCGCTGTGAATAGTGATTGATACGACTATTATTCTGTTTAATTAATGACAATTATAAAAAAATTAAGAAAGACTTAATCCTGCCTCCTTTTTTAGATATCGGAAAGTGAACTTTGGACTTTGATTCACTTATTTTTCCACGGTGACTATATTCCGCTGCAACAAACACATTAATTTAGCTATTATATAGAGTGTCCTGGCGCAACGGATAAGTGCCTGGTGATTAATCGTTATATAGGTACCAAGATCAAAATCAAATCACATTGGTGGAATTCCCTTTTGTTTTGTATTTTTATTGAAGTGAAACTTCTTTATCGGCGTTGGAAAAAAATTACCGTCACATTTTTCGGTTACGCGTCACATTTTTCCGTTACGCGCCATCTTTTTTTATATTAATAGTTGATAGCTGAATGATCACACTGTCGCCGGCGAGAACTCTCTCTACTCGTTTGTAGCTGAGTGACAATAGTTATTAAAGATAAGACTCGCTCAGCCAAACTCGCATAGCGATACTCGCTCAGCGATTCTCGCTCAGCGATACTAGCTCAGCGATACTCGCTCAGCGATACTCGCTCAGCTATACTCGCTCGGTTAAGCTGGCTTGGCTGTCAAAAGCCGTGCGCGTGCATTTTAACTCAGGACTGCCAATTCGTTTCTAGTTTCTACTCGCTTATCGTTCATCGTCGGAGGTGGAACATGTGCCTTAGATTACTGAGCCGTGTAATCATAACAGTTTCACAGGCAGTAATTTGTATTCATGTCTATGATAATAGAATCCTTTTGTTTAAACTTTATCTAATTTAACTTTATTTAACCAATTTCTGGAAAGTTGCATATAGATCATTTTTC